TACCTACAATTATAACCTCACAATTCTCATAAACATATTGTTATTTTTATTAAAATTTGATTTTTGATGAAAGTTTTCGAATTCTTTTCGTTTCACATATGTTTTTTATAATTTGGTAGGTTGGACGATTATTTACAACAGTCCATAAAGTGTTTCTGGTTACTTGACTTGGAATTAACAATTGAAGACCTCGGTGTAAGAAGGGGACAACTCCTTCTCTTGATAAATGGAGCTACTCCCTTCTTGCACCGAGGTCTTCAATTGAAGTTCAAGTAAAGTTTATTATTAAGGAAGGTTCAGTTTTTTTTTAAATAAACTAACAATTATTTATAAGCAAAGGTTAACGTGATCAATCAGAATTGCTTTAAATATTTTCTTCTTAGTTTATGTTAATTATAAGGGTTGTGGCTAAAAATTATTAAGTTCTTCTAAAATATCATATAATTCATAATTTATTTATCAATAAAAAATTATGTTTTGTTTTGGTTATTATTTTCTGTCTTTCCAGTTTATAATAATGTAAATTCTTGCATAAGTATATATAAGAATTTCGAATTTCCCGCTAAGTTGGTACATCTAACATGGCGACCTTTCTGGCTTCATTTTAGGCGTGGTGGGGACAACAGCATACGCACTCTAGATTATATATAAGACCTCAATGCCTAGAACCAAAAACATTTGGGTCTGAAGACGCACGGCTAGTCTGAAGTGTTAGTTCTAGTTTTACTTCAATAAAAATATACAACAACCTAACGCTGAATAACAACTAAAACTAGAGCTAACACTAGAACTAGTAACATTCGGATTTAGCAGCACGTCTCTCAAGACGGCTAATCCCGAATGTTTCTAGTTCTAGGTCTTTAGTGTCTTCAGACGCACGGGTAAACCCGAATATCGTCTTGAGAGACGTGCTGCTAAACCCGAATCTTTCTAGTTCTAGTGTTAGCTCTAGTTTTAGTTGAATGAAAAATATACAACAATCTAACGCCACTAAAACTAGTAATAGTTCCAAGTCTAGTGTTAGTTCTAGTATTGCATTAGTACTGTCACTAAAGACCTAGAACTAGAAATATTCGGGTTTAGCCGCACGTCTCTCAAGACGGCTAAACTCGTATGATTCTAGTTCTAGGTCTTGTGTTAGTTCTAGTGACAGTACTAGTGCAAAACTAGAACGAACACTACACCTAGAACTTGAAAGTTTCTAGTTCTAGGTCTAGTGTTCGTTCTAGTTTTGGTTCAATGAAAAATATACAACAATCTAACGCCACTAGAACTAGTGATAGTCCTAGGTCTAGTATTGGTTCTAGTATTGCACTAGTACTATCACTAAAGACCTAGAACTAGAAACATTCGGGTTTAGCCGCACGTCTCTCAAGACGGCTAAACCCGAATGATTCTAGTTCTAGGTCTTGTGTTAGTTTTAGTGACAGTACTAGTGCAAAACTAGAACGAACACTAGACCTAGAACTTGAAAGTTTTTAAATATTTCTAGTTCTAGGTCTAGTGTTCGTTCTAGTTTTGGTTCAACGAAAAATATACAACAAGCTAACGTCACTAGAACTAGTAATAGTTCTAAGTTTAGTGTTAGTTCTAGTATTGCACTAGTACTGTCACTAAAGATTTAGAAACATTCAGGTTTAGCCGCACGTCTCTCAATACGGCTAAACCCGTATGATTTTAGTTCTAAGTCTTGTGTTAGTTTTAGTGACAGTACTAGTGCAAAACTAGAACGAACACTAGACCTAGAACTTGAAAGTTTCGGGTTTAGCCGTGCGTCTTTAGAAGCACTTTCTTCTGCTACTAACTTTCTGATAGTTCTAGATTTACTTCAATTAACACAGGCCGTGAAAGCCTTCACCACAAACTATGTTTTCACATCATACATAATTCGTCTTATTTTATAGTTAATAAGCATTCTAACTAAATAAAATAAATATTTCGCCATTAATTAATTATTTTCCTTTATTATTTATCTTGTTCATTTCTTTCTATTTATATAGATCTCAACAATTTTTTTTTCACGTTTGATACGTTCAATTTGAAATTTAAAGCAGAACCTTATTAAGAACCACTTCTCGTTAAAACCAACAAACATTGTGTCCTCGTCGTATTCTTAATACCAAGACACAAATCAGGAGCTTCTTTTTCCTGTTCCTCCTCTTTCCACCTTTTCGTACTTGAAAAGGAGCCAAGTTGGTTGCGCCCCACATTTGCATACGTTTAACGTAACCAGTCCGCCCGCCCTTAAGTAGTTGGATTTATTTCTAGCGTTACGAAAACACAAGACCCCATTTCCCGTATATTCTTGGTTGGTTAAATGGGAACATGAACACGGGGGAGTTGTTTACCTGCTTTCTCGGCATTTATCAAAAATGTTACGTAAATTTTTATTCTTTATTAATTAAAAATTTTGTTTTATAGATGCAAGCCTCTATGCGCACTACGTGTTCAAAGCTTTTGATGTAAATTGCAATGGTGCCATCAGTTTTAGGGTAAGTATTTAAAAAAAAATATCCCCGTAAAATCGTTTCGTTTAGTACTCGAACATCCGTTGAATTATTTTTCAGTAATGAAACGAGTATAAACCGAGAACGAAAATTTAACAACGTTTTTACAACCACCTCCCCCGCCACCAATCGTAAAATCGCCAACGTTATTTACGACCCTGTTTGTCGTAGTTTTCGTTTCGTTCACCGTTGCCCGATTTTTCTGACCCCAACAATAAATAATAATGATAAATCAATAATAGAAAAAACAGCAACAATTTTCTTTATTATTTTAATTTTTGTTTTAGGACCTGCTTATAACTTTATCGACACTTCTCCGCGGTTCCGTTTACGAACGTCTTCGTTGGACGTTCAAATTATACGATGTAAACGGTGACGGTTGTATTAGTCGCGGAGAACTGTCAGAAATCGTCGTCGCAGTACATGAATTGATGGGCAGAAGAGCACATCAAGTCGAGGACGATCGAAAAGCCCGGGAACAAATAGACAGGGTGTTCCGAAAATTAGATCTAAATCAAGATGGCGTCATAACCATAGAAGAATTTATGGAATCATGTTTGAAAGACGACGTTATAACGAGATCTTTACAAATGTTCGATGCTGTACTATGATGATTTTAAATTTATTAATAATTTTTTTTTATTTGAAAACGTTTCGCATTCATTTCGTAATTAATTTATGAGCCACTCTGATGTTCTTATGAGTAAAAAAATTCTTAATCGATGCTGCTTCCGAAGGTTTAACGAGAAAGGTAAGGAAATTGACAAGATGATGAAAAATTTAAATGGGAATTATTTTAAAAAAGGAAATTATAAAAAAAACACCGAGATAACAGATTATTTGTAATAAAATTCTTATAAAAGTGCCTACCGCTGAACTTTAAATTTAAAGAATAAAAAACTTGCAAACAAAAATTATTTGAAAAAAAAATTTGTTATAATCATTCAAAACTTGTATAAATGAATGCACTATCACTAAGTTGTTATGGTTGTGAGTAATAAATTTTGATTTTAATTTAATTAAAAAATCAAATTCAATGTGTGTGTATAGGCAACCCAATTAACAATCTATAATTTTTATTGATTTAATTGATTATTTAGCCATCAAAGCGCAATAATTCCAAATATTTAACTTAAAATGCGAGTTTTATACATTTTTATATCATTTCTTTTTAATTATCCATAAAAATCTGATTGATTTAAAAAAGTAATTTGACGTTTTTCTGTCAAATAATAACAGTCTACATCGATAGATGTCGCGAATGAAATCACAGAATTTTTTTAATATAAAATGTACTTACTGTAATTAATTGATTCTCTTCTTATTCGTATTTTCTTTTCTTATATGTTTCGTTTCTTCTCTTTTAATTAAATTAATCCTAAAAATTACAATAAATCGATATTGATTTAATCTTGACACTTAAAAGTTGATAGATGTCGCGTTTAAAAACACTAGGTTTTTATTATAAAGAAATATTTAAAATTAATATTTTCCCACTTACCGAAAACAGCATTTATTGTAAAATTGATTGATTTTCCTCATTTTCTCATTGTTTATTAATTTATTTCGTTTGTTTTTTCATTAAACTGCTTCTAAAAAAAATTGTAATAATTCGTGATATGGGTTTGACTTTGACATTTAATAATTGATGCATAAATCGATAGATGTCGCGTTTAAAACCACAATGTTTTAATTAAAAAGAAATATTTAAAATTAATATTTTCCCACTTACCGAAAACAGCACTTATTGTAAAATTGATTGATTTTCCTCATTTTCTCATTGTTTATTAATTTATTTCGTTTGTTTTTTCATTAAACTGCTTCTAAAAAAAATATAATGATTCGTGATCTAGGTTTGACTTTGACATTTAATAATTGATGCATAAATCGATAGATGACGCATTTAAAACCACAATGGTTTTATTAAAAAAATATTTTTTCATATGAAGAAATCTTTATTTCTACGTTTTATTTTTAGTTTTGGTATCTTACGCTTTAATTAATCATAAAAATCTAATTGAAATATCAACTTACTCAAAGAAACTTTAAAAAATCAACTTACCAAATTAAGCACTTATTGTAAAAGTGATTGATTTTCATCATTTTCTCATTTATTCTGTTCTTTTTTCTATAAAACAGCTTCTAAAAAGAAATTAGAATCATTCAAGATACAGTTTTGACTTTGACATTTAATAATTGTTTTGTAGATCGATAGATGTCGCGATTACAATCACAAAATTTATAAATTTTACTAAAAAAAATTATTTAAAATGAATATTTATTATAAATAAATAAATAATTATTTTATGAAATGATAATTTGGTATACTTTTTTACAATTTATAATTATAATTTTGTCGTTATATAAAAAAATAAAGAATGATATTTGGGTTGCCTAATTTATCTTATTTTAAGTTTCATAAATTGTTAAATAATTTATTATTAACAACTATAAAAACACAAAACACACCAAAAAACATTAAATACATACAAATAAAACTGTGAAAGAAAAAGGTGATTCAAATTACTTATTATTTTTATTCGAAAACTTGTAAAAACATCTTTTGCACTTTAACAAAAAAGGTAATTATAAATAATAACTATAAATAATATAAATGTCCATTTCGAAATTATAAAAAAAATCGATTTTATCTACATACGCTTTTTTATTTATTATTTTTGTTAATAATAATTTTTTTATATTGTATTTACTAAACAAAGTAAAAATCTAATTAGAAATCTTGTATTTTAGAGAAAATGAGATAAAAATAAACAATTAGGGCAATATTTCGTAGCATATCCGAAATAATAATTAAAAAACAAAACAAATCGATGATGTAATAAAAGAAAAATAATAATTGGTTATTTAAACATAAAAATAAAAAAAATTGTGGAATTTTCATAAATTTGTCGAGCTTTTACTACAATAATTGTTGTAAATTTGTTCTTCTTTATTAAATGTGTCTGAAATTTTTATATTTAACAGCTGAAAATTTGAATGTAAAATTTTTCAGAAAAAAAATAAATAAAAAAAAATAATTATAACGGGTAAAGAAATGCGGAAACTTTTTTAAAATTGTAATAACAAAAAAATTATAAAAAATCTTGTTTCAAACAACGCATTTCCTCATGCATTTAACACCAAATAAAATAACATTAAAAAATGTCAAGAAGCGTCACTTTTTAACGTTGCGATTCTATTTATTGTGAAAACGATTGATTAAATAGATGTATATAATATATATTTAAATTAAAAAAATAATTATAAAAAAGTACAAATAGGCGAAGTTCCCTTTGTTCGATTTTATTAAATTATTATTGTATAGAAAGTTAAAAAAAAGTGTACGTCTTGTGTTAAAATAGGTGTCCGTTAAAATAATCTAAAAAAAATTGGAAACAAAATCAAGAAAATAAACGTAAAAAATAAAACAAGAAATGTTAAAAAAGAAAAAGGAAATTGATTGTAGATTACAATTAGATACTGAGATAATTCATTTTTATTTTTTTAATATAATTAATTGTTTTTATAGAGCTTCATCTACTGTGAATTATTAATTAATGGAGCAATTTAATTAATTAATTTTCGACTGAAAAACTCCCTATAAATAAATAGGAGAATCAAACTCAACTCGACTCAAGCCAACCCAATCAACGCGAATTAATCATTGATTATTATTATAAATTCGATTAAATGTGTTTAATATTGTTATCGTCAACCTATTAATAAATTGTTATACAGTGTCATTAAATTTGTTTTAATTTTTTTTAATCCTAACAATTTCTATTTGAACTAGAAACATTCGGGTTTAGCCGCACGTCTCTCAAGACGGCTAAACCCAAATGTTTCTAATTCTAAGTCTAGTAACAGGTCTAGTTCTAGTGTTAGATCAATAAAAATATACAACAACATAACGCTGAATAACAAATGAAACTAACACAAGACCTACAACTAGAAACATTGTGCTAGTGTAAAACTAGAACAAACACTAGATCTAGAACTAGAAACATTCGGGTTTAGCCGCACGTCTCTCAAGACGGCTAATCTTAAGAGATGAAAAAATGCTAAACCTGATTGTTTCTAGTTCTAGTGTTAGTGCAATAAACACCGATCATAAAAGCCTTCATACCTAATTCTTTTTAGTTTAAATAATGTAATTACTATATTTAATAAATTTGAAGGAAAAAAAAACCAAATTATATTTTTAAATATTTTGTATTATTTTTTTTGGAATGGACAATACAATTATTACATGATTTTATAACAACAAATTAATAATTATTCTTTATTATTTTAACCATTACTATTCGGTGCGTTTTTTTTTAAATTTTTTAATGACGACGACAAACGTTCTTGGGAAAAACGAACAGTTTGGTTCTTATTACTCAATAAGATCTAAATGCCTTTTTATTGGGCTAAGGAAGGATAGGGACTGACTACCTAACAGTTTGTGTATCCTCAAAAACTTAAAATAATGAACGAAAAAAATCTAAAAGAACACGTTTTGTTAAAAACAAAAAAAAATATTTCTTTTTTTTTTAAAATCCTTGTTGGTACTGTCTCGAATCGAGTCGATTTTGAAGAATTTCCAATTGCCTTTTAGCTTCGCATTGCGGGAAATTTTGTAAGTCGTAGTATTGTGGGGCTATTTTTAAAAGCCAATCAGCTAAAAAACCAATAGAAAAAAATTAGGATAAAATTGTTTAAACAAAAAAAATAATTTACGTTTTATATCCGTAACCGTTCGTATATAATTTTTGGTCGTTAAAACGAACTCGTTATAGATAACCCACTCTGGTTTATGATCTAAACATGTCGATGGATGTAGTTGGACCATTTGGTTATCTTTTATTGTTAAATAATGTCCAGTACGTTCTAAATGTGCAACCTTAAATTAATAAATATTAATTTTGTTTACTGAATGTGTTATTAAATAGTATTATTACCTGCATAAAGAAACCGTTCACTAATGCTTTTCGTATGTTAATGTAATAATCTTTACTAGTAAAGTCTGTGGAAGTTCGTTTCAAATTGAACCGGTCCATAATGCGTGAAAGTTGCTGTCGGACGTTGTCGGCAGATTTCAAACTACGATAGTTTATGAAATTGTCATAACACCACTGTGGATCCTCCATATCTAATCAAACATTACATACAATAATAATCAAATATTATATACAGGTGTTTCATGAGGAATGGTACATACGTTAATATGTTATAGTTATTTATTTTAAGCAGAAAAGTTCCTAAAAATATGTGCTCAATTCCCAAAGGTAACTGAGATAGAGCCAGTTAATGCATAAACTGATTTATTTAAATGTGTACATAAAATATCGAAATTCTGACTTTAAAGGAAGGGTTCGAATATCCCACCGCCTAACTCGATGCACTTGGTTGATCTCTTGAAGATATCACGCACTGTGCTGCGTAATTTATCCTAATGTCCGCTGATCGAGCTGGTCAACTGATAGGAAATACCTTGGTTCAGGTATTGTGTCACTTGACGGCCGGAGTGAACAGGTCATCATGCTGGAAGAGCATATTGGCTCTGGTAGCTCTTCTAACAATATTAGAAGCTCATTGAGCAAGAACTCTAAATATCTGTCCATTGTTAAACGCTCGGGTAGTACAAAAGGCCCAATTAAGTTATTGTCGATCATTCCACACCATACATTCACAGAGAATTTTACCTGAAAATTTGTTTCAACACTGGCATGCGGATTATCCTTAGACCAACGGTGATCATTTCGACTGTTATTGATTCCATTACGGGTGAAATCGGTAAAAAGTATCACAGGAACCAAGCGGCGGTTAGATATTACCTATCCACAAAATTCCAATCTCCTGGCAAAGTTTGTTGGTTCAAGGTGTTGTACTGGGTGAACATGGAATAGATACAAGCCATGAGTACGCAATGTTCTCCATACTTTTACATGAGAAACACCAAGACGAGCAGAAAGTCTTTTTGTACTGGTAGATGGACTGCGTTCTACCGACTGAAGAATTTATTCAACTTCATTCAGAGTTTGCACACCTGCACGCAATCTGTTGAATGTTCGAGTAAATGCTCTTGAATCTGGTAGCACTCAGTTAGAAAACCGTCCCTTATAGTCACGGCGAGCAGCACGTGCATTTCTATTTGAGAAACCGTAACAAAACGCCATATCAGCATATTCTGCATGAGTCAATATACATTATCAACAACTTAGTCGACACGTCAAGCAAATAATGTTAAATGTCAAACATTGATAAATGACTATTTCACAACAGTCGTGAGTAATATCAATTTATGCATTAACTGGCTGTATCTCAGTTACCTTTGAGAATTGAGCACATGTTTTTAGGAACTTTTCTGCTTAAAATGAACACATCTATAACATATTAACGTATGTACCATTTTTCATGAAACACCCTGTATATTAAGTATAAGTAGTCAAAAAAGTAATGCAACCTAACTTAATTTTTATCAATATGTTATCAAGTTGTTAGAAGCTGCCGAAGAAAGAGTGAAGAAAATGAGTGTTGAAGAATTGGAGACGATCGATAAAACTGGTGACGTAACGGAAAACGAAATAGCATACGAAGCTATGATGATGATCAAAATTTAGCAAAAACACTTGCTTTGACTGATGTTGATACAGTGCGTGACGTTTTATTAAAAATCAAACAATACGAAAGTGTTGACGCCACCCGTACAAAAACCAAATATTCCTCAAAAAACTAATGGAAAAGAAATTGAGAAACCTGAAACGCAAGCAAAAAAATGCTATATTTGTAATGACATGAGACCCATTTCAGCAAAATGTCCAAAACCGCAAAAGAAAGGAAGATGTGTCAATTGCAATAAAGTAGGTTACATCACCACAAATAGCAAAGAAGCAAAGAGGGCGAACAAAATTAAAAAGGTTGATATACCGGACGTTTATGGCAAAGTAATGCAAGTTGATGGAAAACCATTGAAGGTATTTGTTGACTTAGGAAGTGAGGTTGTGACGCTTCGACTGAAGGACGCAGACAAACTAGAAATACAATATACGTCATTCAACTGAAGGGATTTGGAAGTGAATTAGGAAGAACAATCGGAAGATGCCAAAGTTTACAGGACATTGACCGAGTAGAAATCGAGGTAGAAATCTATGTGTTGCTTCGTTGTCAAAAAGACGTCATAATAGAGCCGTTAAAGTCAATCGATTAGAAAAACCGTCTTTCAAAAAATCGATAATCTAAATTAAATTAGACGGATTAGTAACGTTTTCACGTTCGAAAATTGTTTAATTTTTGCAATAATTAATGTAAAAGTTTAAAATTCGCCACCTGCGACTCCAGACGACGTTTTAAGTAAGAAGAAAGAAATCATAGTTACTGTTTCTCCTAGTGCAGAAGATTCGTAGCATTGTCTCTCTCCAAGAATTTTATTGATTTTAATCGCTCCAACCGTACGCTCGAATCTGAGTGACGTACTAGAGTTCGCGCCCTGTAGTTTCAAACTTTATTATTTTTTTTTTTGAAAAACTAAGCCTCAGAATCAAAAATTAAAAAATATAGGGTAAATCAATTTTGAATGCCATCCGGGCTTGTAAACGCACCCAGTGCTTTTATATGATTGATCAAAATAATTTCCGCAGAACTTGGACCAAATGTTGTAACCGTTTACATGGATGATCTAATGATCGAGAAGGACTTGAAAACCTCAGACACGTATTTAATGTTTTAAAGGAAGAGGGCCTTACCTTAAACCTGATAAGTCTCATTTCCTGATAAAAAGCGTTGAGTATTTAGGTTTTGAAATAGACGAAAATGGAGTACAACCAGGGAGAAACAAAGTGGAAGCCGTGGAAAATTTTAATCGCCCAGAAAATGAACATGATGTGCGAAGATTTTTAGGACTTTCCGGATTTTTCCGAACGTTTGTTAGAAATTATTCTCTTATCGTGAAACCATTAACGATGTTGACTAGAAAGGATGCTGTATAGAAGAGGGGAGAAGAGGAGGAAAAAGCGTTCAAAACAATAAAAGAAGAACTATACGATCCAGAAGCAGATTTTGAAATCCATACCGATGCCTGGAAGATGGGAATAACTGGAATACTATTTCAAAAGACGAAAAATGAACCAAAAAGTTTATTGAAACCAATAGCCTATTTCAGTCGACAAACAACGGAATTGGGGAGTCGTTATCACAGCTATGAACTGGAAGTTCTAGCCGTTACAGAAACCTTAGAAAGATTTCGAACGTACATACTAGGTCGAGAATTCAAAGTAATAAGCGATTGTAATTCTTAAAAGACAATCATGAAGAAGAAAGACTTGATGCCGAAAATAGCACGATGGGTGTTGAATCTCCAAGGATACGACTTTATCATTGAATATCGCCCAGGAACTTCGATGGCTCATATAGATGCATTGAGTAGGAGTCCAAATGAAGAATCAGAGGACGCTAAGATAGGAAGCTTGATATATAGGAAGATGAAACCATAAAGAAAATAAAAGCTACGTTGGAAAAACATCCAAATGACACCGAAACGAGACAGATTCATCATGACTACGAAATCTATCAAAACAAAATCTATCGCAGAACTACAGACGGTCGTAAATGGGTTGCACCGAAATTGATTATTGGGAAAATAATAAAAGGAAGTCATGACGATATGGGACATTACGCTTAAAAAAAACTGTGGATCATTTAAAACGATATTTTTGGTTTCCGAAGATGAGAAAATACATAATAAAGTAAATAAAATCCTGTATTGAATGTGCATACCATAAATTTACAGGAAAAAAGCAGATAGACTTGCATAACGTAGAATGATTACCGATTCCCCTTTTCATACAATTAACGTTACTATTTAGGACCTTTCCCCATAAGTAGAAAAAGAAATACCTACTTGTTAGTTTTGTGTAGATAACTTCACAAAATATGTTATTATCCAAGCTGTGAAAAATAAGAAGAGTAAACCGACGATAGAAATTATTAAGGAAATTACTGGAATCTTTTTTGGTCCAACAATACTTATAACTAGAGCCCAGACAGTTTAGGAAAGTGATCCTAAAACGCCTCCCACTCCAGTCTCAATATTCAATGAATTAAATCGAAGCGTACGCTTATCAAGGCATTCGTTTAGTGTGGAGGGGCGCACGTTTTCTAAACTGTCCGGGCTCTGCTTATAACAGATAGAGGAATTGCTTATATGTCGTGCGATTTTGAGAATTTCTGCAAAGAAAATGATATCCAACATATCAAGCATACATCAGCAACCCCAAGAGCCAACAGACAAGTAGAAAAATTCGACCATTAGATAATGACTATGCATCACGAAGATGAACGAGGATGAGACACGAAGTTACGAAAAATCCAGGTCGCTTTAAACAACATAAGGAACAGAACTACTCAGAAAACACCTCACGAACTATTGTTTAGGCTTCTGCTACGGAACATTTTACAAAACCTCGTCATAATGGTTCTTGAAGAAGACCAAAACGTACCAGATATTGATAAACTAAACAATTCACGCGATAAAGTGATGAAAAATATCGAAAAGGTACAACGAACACAGAAAGAGAGAAGTGATATGAAGTACCAAAAATTTCGAAAATAATAAATATGTATAGTATATGTATAAGAGGAAGGTCTAGACAATCTAGAAAGATGATACCATCTTATAAAGGACCGTATCTAGTAAAAAACATCGTTCTAGGAAATGCTAGATATCATTTAATCGACATACCAGGCGTTCAATAACCCTAGCGAAATTTTAGTTCAATTTTTGCTGCAGACCTCATGGAACCATGGTGCCAAATACCGGATGATGTCAACGATGGAATCGAGGACGATTCGTCAGGTAGCGAAGCCAGATATAATGACCCCTCTTCACTATGTCTCATGATGGACCACTAGAATAGTCGCCATGATGGCCACCATTGATGATGGCTAGCATGTTTGCTTCCATACAGTGGTATAGTCTAAATGGCCCATCTAATGGACCAATGTAACCAACAGGTCCTGTTGAAGACCGAAATGGTTAAGCAATGATAGCCCACTGTGTGGACATGCCACTGCACAGTTAGCTGCGAATGATGGCACCCTTTGATGTGTGGTGTCCGACCGCTCCCAAAGCCATGCTTTGCCATTACCATCACCATTATCCACCACTTATGGCCACTTCAGGTCATCACCCCTCTACACAATGGCGATGGCTCGCACTGGCCCATGATAAGTCATAATAAAGAGGGGCCATAGCAACTAGCGACACCTATTGAATATTTTGAAGTCATAAGAATAATACCGATCGATAAAAGAAGAAGTTGAGAAACAAGAGCGAAATAGGCGTACAACAATATGCCAGTGTTAGCGGTGTAATAAAGTTAATGAATGTATTTATAAAAAATAAAACAAACGAAAAACAAGTAATAAAGGGATAAACGATTAGGCCCCTTTTATTTAGTACATTTGTTTACTTACTTTGTTTGAAGGCGTGGTAAACGTTGAGTAAGGTGAGATGATCTCCGTCGATATGCGCGAAACGCATCTTTGCGTCGTCGGCCGCCTTCTTCGCCTCGTTCGGGCGCACGAAACACTGTGGGACTAAACATTGGAGCAGGGCAGTTGCCCGTATCCAACCAATATAGTTGCCGCGACTCACGCGTTTCCTACAGAGCTACCTTAGTCAGTACCTCGAGCGGATAGCAAACCACTTTTTTAATTATCTAATTTACCAAATAAAGTAATAATTTGTTTTTACATAAATTGTCAAAAAAGTAGTTTTTAATTTATTCTATTCGCTCGGGTATGAATTTTTTATGACTTTTTTGCAAGCTATGTTATTAATTACTTCTTAATTAAAGAAGTTTTAATAACATTAAAACAGTTTTTTTTAAAGAAATTAAATATTAATAAAAAAAAATTAAAATTATCAAGAAAAATTTGTTCGGTATTGAAAAATACTTAACTTAAGAGATCTAACCTCAATTTAGATACTATTTTAACTTAATTTTTTAATAATTAAATTTTTTTTTCATAACCCTCTTAAATTTATAAATACCTGACAACATTGCAGTGACCGATAAGATCTCATTCGAACAATTATGATTGCAACTTGCGATCAACATCTTCGCCAATTGCGGGTCCAACGGAAACTCGGCCATAACAGCCCCCAAATCAGTTAAATTCCCGTCATCATCCAACGCCGCCAAATAATTCAATAATTCCAACGCTCGCATCAACGTTTCCGGCGCAGGAGGATCCATAAAATCAAAATGAACCAAGTCGTCAATCCCCAACTTCTTCAACTGCAAAACAACTGAACCCAAATTCGATCTTAATATTTCCGGATAAGTATTATCTTGCATTTCGGTTTTGTACGCTTTCTCAGTGTATAATCGGAAACATTTTCCCGGTTTTGTTCTCCCAGCTCTTCCCGCCCTCTGTTGAGCCGACGCTTTACTAATCGGTGAAACCAACAAACTTTCAACTCGAATTCTCGGATTATAAACTTTTTGCTTTGCAAAACCGGGGTCGATCACGAAAACAACGCCATCTATTGTTAAAGAGGTTTCTGCGATGTTCGTCGAAACAACAACTTTCCTTCCAATGGCCCCCGAAGATTTATTTGGGGGTGGTTCTTCAAAAATTCGTTGTTGTAAATTCGGGGGGAGTGTTGAATAAAGAGGGATACATTTTAATTCACCCACTTCCGGCCCTAAATTATCAATTTCTCTTTTGATACGTTTACAAGCGACTTCTATCTCTTCTTGTCCCGTTAAAAATAATAAAATATCTCCGGCGATTTCTTCACACATGTGGATTTGAATGACGGTTCGAATTGCAGCTTCTAAATAATCCCTTTCTGCTTCGGGGGTATAAAATATTTCAACCGGGTGAGTTCGCCCAGGAACGTTCATTAATGGGGCATTATCAAAATATTGTTGGAATTTTCCCGCATCTAATGTAGCAGACATAATAACTAATTTTAAATCTTTACGTTGTTTAATAACTTCTTTTAAAACCCCCATTAATATATCAGTTGCTAAAGTACGTTCGTGAGCTTCGTCGAGGAGGATGCATTGGTAAGCGTCTAACATTGGATCGCTCATTCCTTCGCGAAGTAACATACCATCTGTCATATATCTATTTATAAAACAAAAATTATTAATGTTTAAATAAAAATAAAATCATTAGAACTTATATTAAAGAGCCATCCTCAAAAATTTCACCTAAATAAATAGTTTAACATAATATAAAAAAATTAAAAAAATAAAATTTAAATAATTTAACAATATAAAAAAGAACCCAACCCAATTCCACCAGAAAACAAAGAAGATCCAAAAATACATAAACCTAACAATCTAATGCGCCCCATTATATGCAGTATTGATTCTAGTACATATACAGGTGTTCAGGTGACTCGGGGTATAAAATTAACCTCATATACTAGAGCAAAAATGATGACGATTCGTGAAAAAAAATTATTATAAAAGTCTTCAAATGGCTAAGATATGGGCCATCAAAGTTCAGAAATTTTAACACATTTTTCTAAATATTTTCAATACCGTTTATGGTAGAGCGTTGAAATTTGGTACAGGGTAAACAAATATCAAGCAAAATCATTGAACCAATTTTGACTTTGATCGGGCGGCGGCAACCATGCTATACAGGTGTCCCTAAAATTTGTTTGCTCAGAACTTTTTTGTTCGCTCGTAACCCTACATTTATTTTTGTACTTTTTAATAGAAAATTTATTTTAGAAACTATTATCACTCTTTGAAAATTTTTATAACATTTACCGTTTTCGAGTTATACGCGAAAATGTTAAGCTTTGATTTCAATCGTAACAAACAAAAAAAGGAAACATATTCCGCAAGATCTGAGTTGGCGATGACAATTCAAAAACGAACTGAGCTAATAACCATTATTTGCATACATTTCTAAGTGCAGACTTAGTTAAATTCAGTGTTAATTTATTTTAGTTGAATAAAAGAATGTAATTTCCAAAACAATAAATTTAATTTTTACGGTTACAACAAACAAGAAAATAACAAAAATTCTAACAAAAATATCAACAAGAACAATAAAATTATAAACAAATAGTAATAAATAAAAAAGAACAAAAAGATACTAAAGCAGATGTTCAAAAACACCCCCGCCGGCATCAATGCACGGCTGATATCGCCGTCTTAAATTAAAGCGCACTCTGCAGAGAACATCTCAGTTCGAAGTTGATCAAATGAATCAACAATTCGCAACCTCAGTTGATCAACTCATTTTCGATCAACTCAGTAAATTAGCAATTTAACGCGTCCCCATAAATAAAAATCTACAGGTGTAAGATCCGGCGATCGGGGGGCCAACTTATCGATGCACCTACTCCTAGTCCAATCCACCGTCCCTAAAAACGTTCCCTCAGAAATTCGGACAGCTTGTGTGCTATCACATTGCTTGCCTTGTGTTTAAAGGACCGTCATCTAAAAAATCATCTAATTCCTCTAAATGTCGCCTGTATGTATGTCCATCCTTGCCAGCCTTGATAGTAAGAAAACGGGTCCAATAATTACATCGCCCACAATGCCAGCAGAAACGTTAAGAGAAAATCTCCATTGTGATTTCCAAGTTTTCTTAAATCTTGGGTTTTCGTCCGCCCAACTATGTAAATTTCTTAAATTGAAGATTCTATCTTTAGAAAAAGTGGATTCATCTGTAAAAAGCACTTTTTCTTAAAACTGATCATCAATTTGGATTTTGTGCTGCATTATTTGGCAATATTGCAGTCGCAGTGGGTAATCAGCCAATCGAACTTCCTGAACTTTGTAACAATGAAATGGATAAAGCTGTTGCTCGTGAAGAACACTCCAGATAGTTGTTTTTGAAATTAAAAAGTGCCTCGCCATATCCAAAGTACTAGCTGTAGTATTTTCTTCTACGTAGTCTAGAATATCTCCTTCTAGTTCGTGTGTTCGGACTGATCTTACGTTACTGTTGTTAGTAAATTTCGGCTTAAACGTCCCATTTTCCCTTAAACGGGTTTCAATCCTTAAAAATGTTTTTCGATTGAGCGCTCTGCAATTCGGAAATTTCTCCCGATAACGCTTAGCGGCTGCTACGGCGTTTCCATGACATTCCCCTAATGTCAAAATCATGTCAGTTTGTTCACTAAATGTGTAACACTCCATTTTGAACACTTAAAATTAATAAAAACTTAACTAACAAAAAACTATCATTTGTGTTTAAACGACATAAGCAAGTTGACAGCTCAATTTGTTTTTTTAATTGCCATGGCCAACCTTGACTTTTTCGAAGATTTTTATTTTTTAGTGTTACCATTGAAATCGAAGCTTAATATTTTCGGGTATAACTCGAAAACGGTCAATGTTATCAAAATTTTCAAAGAGTGATAAAAGTCTCTAAAATAAAATTTCTATTAAAAAGTACAAAAATAAATGTAGGGTTACGAGCGAACAAAAAAGTTCTGAGCAAACAAATTTTAGGACAGCCTGTATAGCATGGTTGCCGCCGCCTGATCAAAGTCAAAATTGGTTCAATGATTTTGCTTGATATTTGTTTACCCTGTACCAACTTTCAACGCTCTACCATAAATGGTATTGAAAATATTTAGAAAAATGTGTTAAAACTTCTGAACTTTGATGGCCCATATCTTGATCATTTGAAGACTTTTATAGTAATTTTTTTTCACGAATTGTCATCATTTCTGCTCTAGTATATGAGGTTAATTTTATGCCCCGAGTCACCGGAACACCCTGTAGAATATCAAAATTCCTTGTTGACTTCTTTAAGAATGTTATAAATTTATTAGCACTAGAACTAACGCTAGCCCAAGAACAGTAGAATCTAACAGGACTGCTACATCTATTGTTGTGACAACCTGCCCGAAAACTACGTCAAACCATTTTCCACGCTCAGCTGTTGTTATGGTTTATGCGTTTGCCCTGTATTTTTAGAGGTTATATCCTAGACGTATTCATATTATTTTTGCAGTTTTATGTTTTTAGACGTATTAATGTCTATCATATAACCTCTTAAAACACAAACAGTTACCAGGCGTGGCAAATAGTGTGACGTAGAATGCGGGCAACCAACTCGTAGTGAACTACACAGTATAAAAATACAATGGATGTAGCAGTCCTGTTAGATTCTACTGTCCTTGCCCTAGCCCTAGAAACTAATACAGTAAAGACCGGTTATAACGAGTATGCTTTATAACGAGCACCTGCTCTATAACGAGCAAGCTTCCAAGTCCCGTGAAAAATCCTATCCTTACAATGTAAAAAATCTCGCTTATAACGCGTGCTCGGTTATAACGAGAGTTCGGTTATAACGAGAGCTCGGTTGTAGTTTTGCGTGTTTTGTACCGTCTATAACGAGCGAATGACGTAAAAATCTGGCGACGTCGTGACGCGCCATTTAGGCACCATGGGCAGTTCAGTTTATCGCTAGATTTACGTGAACTTGTATCTATATGTCGTTACAAAAATCCTCATATTAACAACTTAGAATGTATTGAACTTGCGTACTTTCCGCGAAATTCAACTTCCGTCTTACAACCGATGGACCGAGGCATAATTAAATCAATGAAAACGTTTTACCGACAAAAGTTATTGTTCAAGTTAGTAGAAGCTATGGATCTGAACGAAAAATTAAAAATCGATATTTTAGATGCCATAATAATGCTAAACAGCGCATGGATAAATGTTAAAAAAGAAACAATAATGAATTGCTTTCGTCATGCATTCGGCAATCTTCAAGGAATATGAAATTCCCTTAGCTCAATTAATTACGCGTATCTCTGTGGAAGAAAATCTTTCTAGTTGGGCAGAGAAAAACGGTTTGGAAATAGACGGTATCGATTTAAATTTATTTGCCACTATCGATGACGATGTTACTACTGGTTCCATTCTATCTGACACTGAAATAATGTCTAACGTGTTGAATAAAGATAATGAATCTGACGGTGAATCAGATGAAGAGGTAGAACGAAACATATCAAAAAATGAATTTTTAGAAGCATTTTCTAGGGTGACACGTTACATTGCAACCAACTATGCGGACAATACTGAATGTATGTTCGCATGCGATACAATAAACAAAAATATTCGGCAGGAATTATTACATAAAACCATAAAACAGAAAAACATCCGAGAATATTTCAATAAAAATTAATTTTAGATGTATAATAGTATAGATGTTTAGTTAATTAGTTTTAGTCTATTAGGTAGTTGTATCCGTCTTAAACAATAAAGTTATGAAAAATGACAAAAACATGATAATGTTTTTTTTTGTTTTTACCTTTTCAATCGTATACTTTTAAAGCAAACAAAATTTCTCATAGTGATTAATTTCTGATAGTGAATAAACAAAAATTTCATTGTAAAAGTGCAAAAACAAAAAGATTTTTTTAAGTGTTCTTAAAATTGCTGGTTACTACTTTTTGCACAAGTATTAAAATTTATGTTACATATTACGACAACCTTGGTTATAACGAGGTACCGTCTATAGCGAACAATTTTTTCGGTCCCTTGACTGCTCGTTATAACCGGTCTTCACTGTATTGGGTTTAGCCGTGCGTCTTCAGACACTTGCGTCTTCGAAACTTTCTAGTTCTAGGTCTAGTATTAGCTCTAGTTTTCCACTAGCACAATCACTAGAACTAACACAAGACCTAAAACTAGAATCATTCGGGTTTAGCCGTCTTGAGAGACGTGCGGCTAAATCCGAATGTTTCTAGTTCTCGGTCAAGTGTTAGTTCTAGTGACAGTGGTAAGTAACGCTAGTTAGCATAAGATATTACTATGTTGTATATTTTTATTGAACTAAAAATAGAACTAACACTAGACCTAGAACTAGAAAATATCGGGTCTAAAAACGCACGGCCATACCCACAACTTTCTAATTCTAGGTCTAGTGTTATTTCTAGTTTTACACTAGCACTATCACTAGAACTAACACAAGACCTAAAACTAGAATCATTCGGGTTTAGCCGTCTTGAAAGACGTGCAGCTAAACCCGAATGTTGCTAGTTCTCGGTCTAGTGTTAGTTCTAGTTTTACACTAGCACTATCACTAGAACTAACACCAGACCTACAATCATTCGGATTTAACCGTCTTGAAAAACGTGCGGCTAAATCCGAATGTTTCTAGGCTCGACGTCGTAAGGACATAAGGACGTCGTGCCTTATTTCTCGCGCGACGTCCTGTCTGCGACGCACCATCTGTTCCGATTGGACGGAACCCTCCTCTCCCCGCAGAGCTTATTTCTGTTTCTCTTTAATTTGTAATTCCATTAAAACGTTCTTAAAAAATTAGGGAGCTCTAATTTTGAAAACCTGACAATGGAATCGGCATTATTTAACATATTTTGGTCGAATTCGCGAGGAAATCTACCCAGCCGTTTTCGACATAACGGCGTCTTACTAAACCGCGGTTTTCCGCGAAACTGTATGGAGTATCGAAAAAATAAAATATGCCACTCATTAAGAACACATCAAGCTATCACCTGTTCAAAATTCAAATTTTTTCGTACGATAGGTTTCGAGAAAAAAAATCGCAAAGTTGACAAAGTTACTGGTACTGTAAAAAATCGGGTACTTTTTTCATTTAACTCGCGATAAAAAGAAAACCACGGATCCGAAAATTTTCAAATTAACATATGTTACAAATGTTCAGTGATTACAACAAACTTTGTCGCAATTTTTTTTATCGAGCGGCTGCGTAGATATCGATCTTTAAAGTGAGGAGCCTTGACTTTTTGCACGGATAGTAGATATGTCGATGATGTATTCGCCATTATTGATAATAGAGATAATATACATTAATACAATCCATAACAATATAAAATTTACACTGGAAACGGAGAAAGAAACTATAGTAACCATGAGTTCGATATCAATGGAATGAATCAAAGTTATAAAATGGAGATATTAGAAATGTATGAAATTCAAAAATTCATAAAGAATAACCCTTACAAAGTTACTTTAAATGAACAAACCACTCCAATCTTTCAACACCTATATAAAACCTTAAAAAGTAAAAAATCCATTTGGAGCCTTTTCTTCCAATTCCAACATGATTAACATCTTTTCTGTAACTGTTCTTACAAATAATTTTGATTTAACATGTATACAATGTGTTTACAATATTACAGACTTCTTTGTACTGGTCAGACATGTGTTAATGTCAATTTTGTTGTGTGTTATAAGCAGAGCCCGGACAGTTTAGGAAACGTGCGCCCCTCCATACGAAACGAATGCCTCGACAACGACGTACGTTGTTGACGCTTTTAATATTGAGATTGGAGTGGGAGGCGTTTTAGGATTATTTTCCTAAACTGTCCGGGCTGTGGTTATAAGTTTCATTATACAAAAAAGCTTTTCTTTATGTCTTAACATATGCTAACATTATCAAATATTTGACATTAGTAAAACTACAACTTTTACATTACACAGTTTGTTAATTTAATGTAACTTTATAGATAAATCTCCTGAGGATGGCTATATTATTTCACTAAGTTAAAATGATTTTATTTTTATTTAAGCATTAATAATTAAGTGATAAAATGGATAAGATTAACTTAAAAATTATTAAATTAACAAAAACATATATTAAAACTTACTTTAAAATGGTTTTAGCTGACGAACAATCCTCAAATCGAATACTATAACCAACTTCCTGTCCCAAAGCGACATCCATTTCCTCCGAAACTCTTTGCGCAACCGACATGGCAGCCACTCTTCTTGGTTGAGTGCAACAAACCCCTTTTATTCCAACCGATTTAGCATACTCAACACACCATTGCGGAATTTGCGTCGTCTTCCCAGACCCGGTCTCACCAACCAAAACAATACATTGATGCTCGTTGAGTAACCTCATAAAATCGTTGCGATACTCAAAAACGGGGAGGGTGATTCGTTTCCGGAAAAGTTCATGATAACGAGGAGTGAATGGACCCCCTGTAAGTGGATTCATCCCAGCGTTGACACTAGCCGCTGGAATCACCGCAGTACTTATTCCACGTTCCTCCCTAAATACAGATTTTAATCAGAAAAATTCGTTAAAAAAAGTGAGGTTAGAAATGAAGTGACGTTTAAATAACGTTTAAAACGTACCGTTTTTTCTTTATGAACGGGTCTATCGTTTCTATTCGACGTTTAGACATTGGCGTTGTGGCTGTTTTAAGTTAATTTTGATTGATATATTTCGATTTTTTTCGTTAATTTGATGATGTTTTTTTAACCACGACGGAGTTTATTATCACAACACTGTCAAAAAACAGGACGGATGTGGGTATAGTAGGAAACTAAATTTATCGACATTGATTTTTAGGTTTTACGTTTTTTTAATTGATTTTGTTCATAAATCGGTTTATTTGTGAGTTGAATTAATATTAATTTTTGTAATAATGGATAATTGTAGTCGATAAAAATAAATTTAAACGAAAATGGGTTAGGCAACCAATTTTGCACCGCTAAGAAATTGGTGGTGTAATTAAATTATTTTAATTTTATTTATAATCTTATTAATTCCTTTATTAAGATGTTTCTTATCTATTTTTTATGATTTAGTCGATTTTATCAGTATTGCTGAATAAATATTGTTTTATTTATCAACAATTTAAGTACCATTTAAGCCATATTTAAATGATTCTGGATAATGTAATATTTTCGGATGGATATTATCCGATTTTTACGCAGAACTTGTTAGATTCTATTCCGAGGTTATCAACAGGTCCAAAGTTCACCAGTCACACAGGCCAAGTTGTTGCGAGTCAAAATGTTTTGTTTACGTTTTCGTTGCGTTTTGCTGTTTATAGATCTATTGATGGAAAATATCGAATTTGTGCCTTTCTAATCACTATTAAGACCTAAAAAAGATTTAAATAAAATTAATTTAAAGCAAATAAGTAATGCCCTATAATGTGATTAAAAAAGATTTAGCAAACAGTTATAATTGAGTTAAAAAGTGTTAAATTAAATAAAAATGAGTCGTGTGAAAGGAAGCCGTGTGCAAATAAATACTAGGAACGAATCACAAATAACAGTTTATGCCTTAGTTGGACTTTTTACAGTCGTGTGCAAATGTTGTTTCGATATGATAGCGCGAAACCGTGTGCAGTCGAAAAACCTAGAAGATAATTTTTATAATGACTCAATAATTTTATGATTTTTAGAGATTCTTTTTGATTGTTTAATTTTTTGTTCTATTTGTTATTGATTTTATACAAAATAATAAGATATTCATCCAATAATAATCGAAAATGTCACATAAATGACCGATTAGTGGGTAATCTATGAGTGATTTTTGAATTAAGAAACGATTAAAAACATCTCATCTACCAAGATAATCCGTACGTGACCATTTATTAATCCATTTTTAATTTTTTTTGAAAAGTTCCAAGTCCATGTTAACAATGTATCGAATCTGTTTGAGTCTTGTTTGTTAAAACAAAAAAAACTAATAATGAATCTACGTGAATGTGATAACAATTTATATAGAATGGGTTATTGTATTTTTTTCCTACAATAATATTTATTGGGAAATTCATTATTGTCTAAGTATGTTATTGATTAATCAACAAAATAAACAAACATCTCAAAGATTAAATTGATGATTTTAAAAATGATTTTTTTTTTAATTTTGTGGTTTAGAAAAGAAATTAATTTGAAAATATTTCTTTGTTGTTATTTCAATTGGAATTTATTTAGTCATATCAAACTGTAGATAAAAATCCCCATTATGACGATAAATCTCTTGCAAATCGAGTTTAAACACGTTACGTTCTTTTTTGTTGTGATTTTTTTGTGGGTTGACCTTCAATAACAACTCTCAATACGATTATTTCGCTTTAACAAAAGTTTCCTTTAAAATTGGTTATCTTTTCTGTTTATTTCGAGTTATTTTTAAAGACTTTGTTTCTTTATTCGCGTTAAGGATTAAATGGAAAATCCCACCCGCAAATTTAAAAACGATACCGCTTTATGATATTATTTTAATATTGAAATTAATTATTAACGATTATTTTGAGATTAAATGATGATTACATCAAAATATTATAAAATGCAATCAAATTATTGTTACGAAATAATTTCTATTCGAAAATAACTAATTGACGACGAAATCAACGACGTTTTTGATACGCAAATGAGTGCAACGGTTAAAGTTATTGTGAAATAACTTAACAGGCGTGAATTTTTTGAGAATATGGGTGGGTTTCATCGATTCATTTCATCAATATACATTATTTGGTTTAAATTTATACTTGTCTTAAGCAGTAAAGAGATTGTTAAAGGATAAATTAACATTCGTGTGGTTACTTTATTCCTATAAATAAAGTAAAAACGATATATTAAAAATTAAATTATTTATTTTTAGGTTATGTGAAAACGTCAAAATGTAATAATTAATTTTTTTTATCAATAATAAAATAAAGCTTACTCGCCGGAATATATTTTTTTACAAATTTTTATACGATTCTAAAATAATTTCTTTATTTCCATAAATAAACCCCAATTGATTTTTTAAAAATAAAATTCTAAGTCGACATTTATAGGTTATGTGAAAACGTCAAATTTAATTATTAATTTTTCTTTAATAATAAAGTAGAACATACCTACTCCCCATAATATATTTCCATGTAAATCAAGTTTTATCCTTTACTTTGGTACAAAAATAATTTTCTTATTAATATAATAATAATTTTTTAATGATTAACTTTGAAAACTATATTTCAAGGTTAAGTGGAAACGTCAAAAATTTACAATTAATATTTTTCTTCAATAATAAAATAAAACTTACTCACCGTATTATATTTTTTTACAAATTTTTATACGATTCTAAAATAATTTCTTTATTTCCATAAAGCAACCCCAATCGATTTTTTGAAAATAAAATTCTAAATCGACATTTATAGGTTATTTGAAAACGTCAGATTTAATAATTAATCTTTAATAATAAAGTAGAACGTACTCCCCATAATATATTTCTTCGTAAATCAAGTTTTATCCTTTACTTTGGTACAAAAATCATTTTCTTATTATTATAATAATAATTTTTTAAAGATTATTAACTTTGATAATAATATTTTAAGGTTATGTGGAAACGTCAAAAATTTACAATTTTCTTCAATTATACAATAAACGGCCTCATTGTAATATATTTTCTTATTAATGAAGTTTTATGCTTTACTTTGGTGCAAAATTTACTATAAATCAAGCAGAAATGATGTTTTAGATTTAGTTTTTCGACATTTTTAGGTTAGGTTAAAATTCCCAACAATTATAAGTTTTTAGTAAATCGTATTTTAATGATGCATGATTTAGCTATTATTTAACATAAATTGCGATTACTTACTCCGAGTAAATGAAACATCACTTATATGTAGTTTTAATTTACAACTTTTATTTGAGGTTAACCTCAAAGTTTAATTTTATTTTTCACCGATTCATAAATTAAATAAAACCCCAAAGTTTTTAAATATATCTTGGACTTTTTATTGTTTTAAAACATCCATTTACATTCTTATTTCATCAAAAAATATACAATAACTGATTAATTAATTATCAAAAACATACAAAATGAACAAAAAAAAAGTTAACTTGATATAAACCGGTTTATTATCACATTACACAAAAAGAACTATAATAACGGATAACGGAAACTAATTTTTACTTCCTATTTAAATCTTGAACGAACAAATCTAAGTCTTCAGCACCAATAATATTTATTGTTTTTGTAAATATTCATCGAACAAATACAATCCAAGCGAACTATCGGGCCCATCCAAAATTTTGGTTAAATCGGAAACATATCCAGCTAATTTTCTGATATTGTCCCTTTGTTTATGGGAATAAATGTGTTCGATATGATCGGAAATTTCAGGGTCGTGATATTCCTCGCGTTTACGAGTTGTTTCACGATGAATCCTATGAGCTTCGGTCGCCAATTCCTTTTCAATATCCAAAGCTTTAGCCAAAGCTGGAAGTTCGTAGATATCGTAAGGCATATCCATTGGAATAATATTTTGCGTCCAATCCATATCACCACCACGTTGTGCAATGTATTTAATTAAATCAATCGAAGCCCCCCATTTCTCATCAGAAAGTTCTTGGAATAATTTCTTGAAACCATCACGATTCTTTTCATAATTTGCGTAATGCGTTGATAAAAGGAGATACTCGAAGGAATGGGTTATGTGTTGAGCTGCGTAGTTTCTTAAATCTGGTAAAACCGCAGTGATGGCTCCATAAGTTGCGTTACATTTTGGAGTGGTAATAAAACCTAGAAAAAAGAAATGTCAAATTAATGTTTGAAACGTCAAAAAAAAAAATTGAGGTTATGTTGATTATATTGATTGTTGACGTCATTTTATTAATTAAAACGTAATTTATTGTAAAAAAGGACTCCATATTTACTTTTTTTGTTGTTTGTGGCTTTACAGGCATCGTTGATGTCTTTGTAGCAGGATTCTTCGGCGATGGCCAATGCCGATAGGCAAATAACAGCGAAAATGACAACTTTCATGATCCCTAAACAGAAAAATAATCTGGGTTAAACGTAAATTAAAAGTTTTAAAATGAAACAATAAAACAAAAAGATAAGAAAAATTAATACCAACCTAGCATCTAACTAGCGTAATCAAGAATAACCTCAATCTGCGCATTTGTTTCGTTTAAATACCGCGACGATTAGAATCTGCGCATGTTCTGGAATAAACAAAGGAACGTCGACTCATGATGGCGTGTAAATGGTGGGGGAGGAGTGATGATAAAAGTGAAAATTGAACGAATAGATGCGCAGTTGAAGAGATTTTCGAGTGCTTTTCGTGTCAAAACAGTCTTCTATACCAGTGTGTATAAAGGCTGATAAAAAAATATTATAATCTACGTCGCCATTTTATATTTAAATTCATAATCACGATCGTTCGACGATTTTGTTTCATTTGTTTTTGAGAGTTCGCCGAGAAAACAACTTTTATAAAATCATGAAGGCCATGTACGGTGTTGTTCTGTTATTATGTTCCCTTGGTTACATTTCCGGGGAATTACATTGTAAGTTGATTTAAAAATATAATAATTTTTTTTTTTAATTAAATTTTCTTTTAAGGTCAACATAAAAGGCCAAATATACCAACGGAATGGATTGACATGGTAAATCCGTGCACGAAGAAGATGGCAGAACATGTTAAAGCTGAATTGGGAGCTGCCGTTCAATATTTAGCAATGGGGGCTCATTTTTCTAAAGATACCGTAAATCGTCCGGGTTTGGCAAATTTATTTTTCAATGCAGCAACTGAAGAACGCGATCATGCCATGAAATTTATTGGTTATTTATTGATGAGGGGTGGTCTTACAGAGAAAGTTCGCGATCTTATCAACCAAGTGGTAAATATATATTCAAAATATACTTAATAAGGATGATTGATTATTGGTGATCAATCAAATTTCCATTTGAAACTGTCAAAATGTTCCTTTTAATGTTATCTTGATGGTTATTGATCACTTTGTTTATTGACATAATCTCTAATTTTTTGCAATTTCAATTAAAATTATTATTTTAAATTATTTTCAGATTGTTCCTGAGATTAAACAATGGGATAATGGAATTTCAGCTCTCCGCGATGCTTTAAAACTTGAAGCCAAAGTAACCAAGAAAATCCGTGATGTAATGATGTCATGCGAAGATAACGACGAATTCAATGACTACCATTTAGTCGATTATCTTACTGGGGAATTCTTGGAAGAACAATACAACGGCCAAAGAGATCTTGCCGGAAAGATTTCCACCTTGGACAAGATGATGGACAAACACGGAGCTCTTGGAGAGTTCTTGTTTGATAAGAAACTTCTTGGTTAAAAAGACTTTTAAACAACTTTCGTTTTCTTTAATAAATATTTCTTGTTTCAATTTATTTCTGTATAATGCAATTTTTTTTTATAGTTATGTTCGAGTTTTTCAATCAATTTTCTTTTTTCTTTAAAATAATTATACTGTGATGGCTGTTTAAGGATTAATTACAGAAATATCAATGTAAAGGTTAATTAAGAACAATTAAAGTTTTAAGAAAGTCAATGAAATAACTATATAGATAGATATTTTAAGTACATTTAAATAGTTTGTATATTTCCAATGTTTTTTGTTCTTTTTACCAAATAAATAGAGTACATGATTATAAAAAGAAATTTTATTAACTTTTATTTCTTTGTAATGAACTAAATAGGGGAAACTATCCAGTTCTAAGCAACCATCCTGAATTGTACCACAATTTGAACGTATCTATTAGGAATTCTAATGTCTGAATAAACAATTATAATTAATTTTTAAAAGTGAACTTAACCTCACTTTATTTGTTGACGTAATAGATAGTACTTGTTTATAGTTTTTGGTTTCTTTACCAAATAAATAGAGTATATAATGATAAAGAATATCGATCAACTATTATTCATGTCTGATTTAAGTAATATAGCCTTTATCAAAATTTTTATGTACAGGTGGTTCAAATTCGATGCCCGAATAGGCTATCTCGGAAACTATAAGAGTTAGAAAAAAAGTAGCTTACATGTCATGATGTCGTTTTTCGAGAAACTGCTAATGCCAAAAACCTCAAAGCGCTATCGTCTTTTGTTTTTCCCCTAGGGGCTAAAATTGAAAATATCGTAAAACCAGCAAGTGCAATTATCTTAGTTATTATTAATGGTGGAGTATTATAACTAAGACATTATACGGACACTTTTTTACAAAGAATTTGATGACGTAATCAAAAAAAATTTTTTGGTTTTAGATTTTGAGATATAACAATTTTCGTTTTTTTAAATGGAAACAACCACTGATTATACGCTTATTAAATTCGTTATTTTTTTCTGATTACAAAAATGTGGGGTTAGATAGGTCTATTTCTTATTGTTTTAGAATAAAGCTAAAAATAAACTTTTTTTTAGTGTCGTCAAAGAAAGTAAATTTACAGTTTCCTGTAAATTACGGTACTATAACTAAAACTTATTCTACTAAAAATTTACTTTATTTTCTAATATGTAACATTCTAACATGTTAAACTTTTCGTAATTTTCGTAATCCATGTTAAAAAACACGATTTTTAAATTGACACTTCAGAAAATTTTTGAATACAAACAAATGTTGCAAAAAAATATATGAGCGCCATCTATCAATAATATATTAAGTCATTTAATAATAATATTAAATATTAATAAAAAATGTGAAATAATGCAATCTATTTCAATTTTGGTGTAAAGCAAATATAAATTAAATAGTCCAACAAATGTATTGGTTTCAAATATCAGAAATATGTTTTTTTAATTTTTAGTTGTAATTTACAGGAAACTGTAAATTTAATTTCTTTGACGACACTAAAAAAAAAGTTTATTTTTAACTTTATTCTAAAACAATAAGAAATAGACCTGTCAAACTTTATATTTTTGTAATCAAAAAAACATAACGAATTTAATAAACGAATAATCAGTGGTTGTTTCCATTTAAAAAATCGAAAATTGTCATGCTATCTTAAAATCTAAAATCGAAAATTTTTTTTGACTACGTCATGAAATTCTCTGTAAAAAAGTGTGCATATAATGTCTTAGTTATAATACTCCACCTATAATAATAACCAAGATAATCGCACTTGTTGGTTTTTCAGTTTTGGCCTCTAGGGGAAAAACAAAAGACGATAGCGCTGTGAGGTTTTCGGCATTAGCAATTTCTCGAAAAACGAGATCATGACATGTAAGCTACTTTTTTTCTAACTCTTATAGTTTCCGAGTTAGCCTATTCGGACATCGAATTTGAACCATCCTGTACATGATCTGTCACGACGAGCTGAGTCTATATACAGGCATCCACGACGACCGTCCATTAGAATTTTACAGGGTTCTGGCCAAAAGTGTGGCATAATTAACCTGAGTGAATAATAGCTCATTATATGCGAGTAGAATACTGTACTTTGTCCACGACTATTGAAATTGATTCCATAAATTTATTTTTTAAATAAATTTTTGAATAAAGGTTAAACGTCAATGTGACACAAATTCAATGTTACTAACTGTAACCAACTTCACAACAATTTGTCAAAATTAAATGTCAGTTTTATAAAACGACGTTTTCTTTAGGAAAATTAATTAATTTATGCTTAAATCATACGAAAAAAGGTATTTGTTTAGGTTTTTTTAATGTCAAACATTTAGAAACTCCTAAAAAATTGAATTAAATTGACGTTTTTTGAACTTTTAATGTTTCAAATAATTATTATTAGTCTGGTCAAGATGGCTACCCGTGGATAATGATTATTATTCACCGCTATTATTCACTCCGTGAAAAATGTCTACCATTTTGTTTTAGAAAACTCATTCATAAAGTATATATTATAAGGTAGTCGTGGACAAACACTCTTTTTCTATTTGTCTTTATTTTGTTGTGATGTAAATTGCCTAGATTGCCAAAAGATATTTCTAGGAGAATTTGTAGGAGAATTTGGGACTAATTGTATGTCGAAATCCCCCCGTAAGATGGCATTATGTCTATACTGAAATAATTTAATTAAACTAACAATTTTATTATTAATAGTGGGAATGATGAGAGACAGCAATAACAATTATTGCCAGTATCATTCTTTTAATTTAAAAAGTATAGATTCCAATTCGTGGTATATTTTTAAATTTGTCGCTAACTTCAACTTTTAAAAAGTCGGATCTTAATCACCATGGTAACTGAGTCAAGTTGGATAACCTAACAATAATAAAACCGTAAACCGTTAATATTTCGCTTTATATTTTAATATTTTTTTAATTTTATTTTATCTTTTTTTTATATTTTTGTATATTGCTTTTTCAGCGAAATACACTGTATAAATAAAAACATAGAAATAAATATCAATTCTTCTAATGACGTCACAGCAAGGCCTTTGCGGGGGGATACGTCATAACAATAACGTTCATATGGAGTTGGATAACCTCATATATATACTATCTTTATACTATATATACTATCTATATACTAAGATAGTATATATGTAGATAACCTTATACAGTATGTTTACTTAACGGACCTTGGGGTTATATCACCAGTGCCGCCATCTATTATTACAAACCTGATTTTGTATAAAAAGTTTATTTATTGAATGAAATTAATTATTTAAGTTATTTAAAATTAATTATCGACTACTTTTTTTAATCTTTAAATTAAAATAAATATTTACGAATTTGATTACGTTTAACGTAATTTTTTTTTAAAGTTGCTACCCTAAAATTTGATTGTAAACAGCTGATTGTGACGTTTGTTGAAGGTATTTATAAAGACAAATAATAATTGATACTTTGCATTATTTAATGATATTGACATTGAATTTGATTACGTAACAATAAACGTATTGTTATTACTCTATATTATATATTTCTTTATTACAATTAATTTTACAATGTTGTGAAACAATTATTGGGTCAATTTACCTTATAAATTACCAAAAGCTCTCTATTTCGTGATCAGTACATTTTACGCCTCGTTTTGAACCGAATAACTTTATTCTTTTTATTTAGTTATGGCTAATTTATTAAAATCATTAACCATAAGAAATGCGCAAAACATTCGATCGATTTTTTTGTCATCGGTGCGCTCAATCAACCCCAATTTGCACAAAGTGAACAATTTCGAAAAGAAGATGTTGGTGTGGACGAAAAAATTTAAAACGGTTGAGGAAGTCCCTAATTTACTCCCGTATGTATTAATTATTTTTTAATTTAATAATCTTTTGGTTGTAAAATTAATAATTTTAGTTCTGAAATGGTGGATAAAGCAAGAAATCGTATCCGTATCCGTGTAGCAAATTATATGATGGCCGCTACGTTAATTGCTTGCGTTGTAGTTGCATTTTCGGGGCGAAGACTCAGGGATCAAGGTGATAGCTTAACAAAAAGAAATCTCGAGTGGCATGCAAAAATGAACGAAGAATTTAAGAAGAGGGAAGAGGAGGAACTGAAAAGACAACAACAGAATAATTAATAAAATAAATTTTAACCTTTTTCCTTTGATTATTTAGCCCATTTCTAAAAGAAATGAATAAAGATTTAATTTAAATTTTTTTTACATAACCTATTAAAAAAAGTAATACAATTAAATGTCATTGTTAACATAACCTAGACGTGTTCTTAAAAGTTTACCTTTAAAAGATTTCTCGTAAATCATTTAAAGAATATCCAAACTTTTAGTGTTTTTACACGCGTTTTTGCGTAGCTAGGTAACAAACATTTATATTTCTTGTAAGAAACATTTATCAACAAAAAAATCTTAATCAAAAACATAACCTAATTCACACAATCATCAAATTTACTTTCTGTAAGTGTTCACTTGAATTTAATGTTTATTGATAAAAGAAATAACGTTAAATTTAATCCTTAGGATGCCAAATAAAAAATCCAAAAAAAACAAGAAGTCAATCTCGACGAAATCTACCAAACCAACACAACAAGAAGAAATGGCGATCATTATCAACGGTGAAGACGATAATAATTTACAACCAACCCCTCTAACCGCTTTTAACGTCCCCGAAAAAATTATTTTAGTTATCGATCGTGCGTGCGATGAAGTATTTAGTTACTTTGAATTAAACAATGGTACAAAATATCGCCCCTTGCAGATGTTAAAGAACGCATTCACCATTTTCGTGCACAACAAGAACTTTATAAATAAAAAACACGAATTTGCTTTGATGGTGTTAAATGAGAGTGATGTTTCTTGGGTGTTGGACTTCACAAGCGATATTCAAAAAGTGTCCGAGGCGATTGATAACTTGGAAGAATGTGAAACGGAGGATATTTTCGATTTAAATTCCCTTTTTAATGTTATTGACGAGAAAGTTCAATATCCAACACTGCTTTCGGATGATTTGGTCATCCCACCACAATTTATTGTTAGAGTAGTTTTAAGTTATGCCAGATCGTTTACCATGCCAAGTTTTACTCGCACAGAAAGAGTTAATGAAATGTTAAATTGGCCTTATTTTTTTATTGATGTTGTTATGACGCATGAAATTCCCGATACTAGTAATAAATGCGAACTTATTTTCAAGAAATTGGAAGGTTTAAATATTGATGGAAAAGGTTATTTGTATTATGTTGATAGAAATCCATCTAAATTGTATTACTCTATGGGAAAAATATGCGGACATCCTTATCAAAGGTCATTACAAAAAACTAACTTATAAACAAAATGAATTTTGTTTGGTACAAATAAATTAAACTAAGAAAAAAATTACACATTTTTATTTTTTAGATAAAGCTTCTTGATCATCCAACTTCATCATGTTTGCCTTATCATCAATTGTAATTTCATTTTCAGTTGAAATTTTATCACATTAATGCAGTTTTTGTTATAAATTTTCTGTATTCAAATTTTCATCAAAGAAATTCCTCATTTTCATTGTAAGGCGAATTTTCAGTTAAAAATGAAGGTTTCGTTAAAGTTTCCTGCATAATTGAAATGGTACTCTTAATTCCATCATTTAAATTCATCATTTTCGATTCATCAATATTTCGAAATAAAGTTTTTATTAAAAATTTATGTTTCAATGAAGTTTCTTTCGAAAAGGGTGAAGATCCATCCTTTTCATTCTCCACTTCAGCTTAATTTCATTATGATTCGAAGTTTGCGTTAAAGTTTCTTCTCTAATTGAAGTAGTACTCGCTAACTTCATTGTCTAAAATCGAAGTTTGCGATTTATCACTATATTTAATTGAAGTTTTGGTCAAAACTAAAGATGTTGTAGAAGTTGTTTTTTCAGTTGTGGTTGTACTTCCATTTTCATCGAATAAATTCTTCGTTGCCGTTTCATTTTCATAGTAAAATGAGTATTTGTTTAAAAATGGTGAAAATCCACCCTTTTCAGTCATCAATTCAGGTTTATTTTCATTACAAATCGAAGTTTTCGTTAAAAATTTAGGTTTCGTTGAAGTTTCTTGTATAATTGAAGTAGTACTCCTAATTTCATCGTCTAAACAGCTCTGTGAACCTGGAACCCGAGTTTACGATATTTTGGTTTTATTAGTACCATTCGATAGAGAATCGTTTGTACTCGCTTGTAACTCCTTTAATTTCGTTTGTACAGGGGGGTTTGGGTGTTATTATAGGCTATCTCAGAAACTATATAAGAGATACGAAAAAAGTAGGTGCCATGTCCCGGTCTCTTTTTTAGAGACTAAGCCAATCCCGCAAACACCAAACCTCTATCTTCTTTTGTTTTTAAGTTATAGCCAAAAAGTCAAATTTTCGTGATTTCAAAAAATGCTCATATTTCGTTTATTTTTAAAATTAGAGAAATGGGGTTGATACGTTCTTAAGGCACTTTTTTAAGTAGAATATACTGACGTTGAAAAATTTTAAAAATATTTAATGATTTTTGAGATACAACACAAAGTTGTATTTTTTTAAATACAAACTATACTTGATTATGATGTTAATGAAAAGAGCATATTTTTAGCTTTCCAATGATGTATCGCATGTATGGTGTATTTGCGGAAAATAAGCGTTAATTTTCAATTCCAAAATAGTAAGCGATAAAATTCAAAATTTTGATTATAGTAGGCGGGTTCGGACAGTAATTACTACCTAATTGTTATATGGTTTTGCACGAATATGACAGAAAGTTGGTCTTGTACTATTATGCAGGATAAAGTTGGTTTTGTACCAACGAATAAAAACTATGAATAGTTGATTTAAATTTTTCAGTGTCTTATCCCTGACTTTGTTCACCAATAAAATATTATTTGTAGATAAAGTTTGTTTAGTAAAAATGCAAGAAACGTATTAATTAATGAATAATTAAATATATGAACAATAACTTCAGGAACTAAACAATCACAGACTGTGTCATCTTCTTCTACTAAACTTACTGGTTGTAAGGTTAGAACAGTTGGGTATCAATGAATGAAATCTTCGGTAGTATCTTCCCAGTTTTCCCCAACCATGAGATTTAGAAGTGTTTTCATATTAGCAACCTTTTCTTTTGAAATTGGCTGAGATAGAGGAAGGTTGGGGATCATAAACTGGGCAGCGGACTTTCCATTAAAACGATGTTTATAGGGGATATGGAGCCTTATCTATCATTTTCAAAGAGTCATTTTTTAATTTTATCGCTTTATGTATTTAAAGCTAATGAGGAATTTTTAAGCGGGAAACTCGTTTCGTAAAATTCATGAATGAAATAATCAGTAAACTCACGTTACTATAGTAACTAAGTGGCATTTAACGTTTTCCTCGCCTACTACAATTAAAATTTTGAATATTAATCTTTAATATTTTAGAATTAAAATATAACGCTTATTTTCCCCAAATACACCATGCGTGCAATACATCATTGGAAAGCTAAAAATATGCTCTTTTCAGTAACACCATAATCTACTATAGTTTGTATTTAAAAAAATACAACTTTGTGTTGTATCTCCAAAATCATCAAATATTTTTAAAATTTTTCAACGGTAGTATATTCTACTTAAAAAAGTGTCTTAAGAACGTATCAACCCCATTTCTCTAATTTCAAAAATAAACGAAATATGAGCATTTTTTAAATCACGAAAATTTGACTTTTTGGCTATAACTTAAAAACAAAACAAGATAGAGGTTTGGTGTTTGCGGGGTTGGGTTAGTCTCGAAAAAAGAGATCGGGACATGGCACCTACTTTTTTCGTATCTCTTATAGTTTCTGAGATAGCCCATAATAACACCCAAATTTGCCCACCCTGTACATCAGGACTTAAAGAGAATAAAAATTTGAAAAATTGCTAGAACCTCATTTTTTGTTATTCTAATTTTATTAATACCATTCGGTAGAGAATCGTTTGTACCACTTTCGATTTCGTTTGTACCTCAACCGGTTCCAAAATACAGCGATTTTTTACTTTTTCAGAATACGTGGTAGAAAAAATTTCGAATTTTGTTGTACTTTTACTGGTTTATTTATATTATACTGGTCTAGGTCTAGACCATCTTGTAACATCTACCACAAAAGATGTCCATGCGGAGTTAAATCTTTAAAGTTTTATAATAGAATTTTTACATGTATTTTAAGTAAATTTTGTGACAGTAATAATTTTAATTCGTTCACCGCTTTATATTTTCGATGTTAATTTCATGTAAGATACAATGACCTTTGTCTCTGGTGATGGCTTTTGCCGAAACTAGTTAGACAACAAAAATATAAATAAACCAGTAAAAGTACAACGAAATTCGAAATTTTTTCTACCACGTTAAACAAACTGGTATAATGGATATTAACTTCAATTTCAACCTAATTTTTCAGAATACTTCTTAAAGTGTGTATCTCCGTTATTAATAGAGATATCACAAAAGGGTCTATGGAGTTCGAAAGAGAATCGTTTTTCGCGTTTGTACCTCAACCGATTCCAAAATACAGCGATTTTTTGATTTTTGAGAATACCGCTTAAAGTGTGTATCTCTGTTATTAATACAGATATTGCAAAACGGTCGATGTGGTTTGAGAGTGAATCGTTTGTACTTCTTTGCACCGCTTTTGTTTTTGACATTTTTTTTCTCCTGCACTTTGCGTAACCCAAAAACTTACGTAAAACATTTTCGTTGTACAAATGCGCGGGAACTTTATCTTCAAAATACATAAATTCATTAGCTTTCTGTTTACGCCAAGCATAGATTGACTGAGCAGTAACTTCTTTTGCTAGTCGTTGTCTGAGTACACCTCGTAATTGATGCTTTTTTTTATGCTCAATATTTTTTGTATCACTATATGCAGAGTGATATATTCATCTGTTGGTTTGTCTGGCGCGTACAAATTAATTCCCACGCAACATTCGATACATAAACCTTTAATCCATAATCATGGTTCTCCTGGATTTAAATTAACTTTTAGATTTTTGAAAGCATAGCAACATTGCAGCCGATGTTCTTGCCACAATTGTTTCTGCATTACATCGGTTCAGCCTTGTCTTAATACATTATACACCCTACCCTTATAAATTCTACTAACAGGTCGAATACTCTTCCAATCGTCGACTGAAATCGTAAATATCGCTCTTAGAGGCACTAACGCGTCTTGAGAAGTATTCACCGACCAATTTGAACCTATTCATTTCGGAATTTGATATATCGGGAGTTGATGTATTGGCTTTTTGATTAACATTATGAAATTTTCGTAGCATGTCTTGTATTTCGGGATCATTTCAAGAGATGTACAAATACATGTGTTTAGCTGATATTTTGTTATCCATTTTTATAACTGCCTCATTCTAAACATTATATGCTAACGATTTTAATTTTCCGGCGTTATCAAAAAACATTAGCTCTTTTATCGAATTAAAAATCATTTCAACAGAAAATTTAGCTACACGCGGCATTTGAAACTTCTTCCGACACCCGAAACCAGTGTTGTTAAATACCCGGGTATTTATTTTCAAAGAAAAATTCCCTGGATATATTACCCGGGGGTATTTACCCAAGATGGGTATTTAGAGGTATTTATAAAATTTTATTCAAATTGAGTTGATAGCAGTTTTGCAAGCACTTCAAGAATGCAGAGTCGATTATCGATGCACCAAACTTTTTTATAACATTTACAAAAATGCTACAATGACGGTAAAATTGCATGAAAGTACTGACAAAATACCCATTGGTCGTGGGGTAAGACAAGGCGATACAATGTTGAACCCAAATTGTTCTTCACAGTCTTGGAGAGAGCATTTAAACAACTGGATTGGTACAAACGATTTTCTATCGAATTCCATCGACCGTTTTGCGATATCTGTATTAATAACGGAGATACACACTTTCAGCGATATTCTGATAAATCAAAAAATCGCTGTATTTTGGAATCGGTTGAGGTACAAACGAAATCGAAAGTAGTAGAAACGGGTAAAAACGATTCTCTTTCGAACTCCATAGACCGATTTGTGATATCTATATTAATAACGGAGATACACGCTTTCAGCGGTATTCTGAAAAAGTAAAAAATCGCTTTATTTTGGAACCCTAAAATGAGTTTTTATTTAAAAATGGTGAATATACACCCTTTTCACTCATCAATTCAGCTTTATTTTCATTATAAATCGAAGTTTTCGTTGAAGTTTTTTGGATAATTGAAGTAGTACTCCTAATTTCATCTTCTAAACTTGATATTTGCGACTTATCAGCATATTTAATTGAAGTTTTGATTAAAAATAGAGGTGTTGGAGAAGTTTCATTGAATAAATTCTTCGCTTCCGTTTCATTTTCATTATAGAGTGAATCTTCGGTTAAAAATGGAGGTGTGATTGAAGTTTCATCATGTTTTTGAAGTTGAATTTCACCTTTATTTGAAGTTTCATCCATTAAAGTTGTTACTTTGTGCTCATCTTTATTTTGAATCAAAGTTTCGGTTATAAATTGAGTTTGTTGGGTTGTTGAAGCTTTTTCTAACAAAGTTTTTTGGGTTGATGAAGTTTCAACTATTAATTGAGTTGTATTTTCAACATTATCAATTAAATCGATCATTTCGACTTTATCCACCGATTTAAAGGACTTTTCTGTAATAAATTGAGGTTTCATTGAATCATGAAATCCACAATACTCATAATAAATGTGAGCTTATTTTCATAAAATTTGTATTATATTGATAGAAATCCATCTAAATTGTATTACTCTATGGGAAGAATATGCAGAAAAGTTCCTTACAAAAAAACTAACTTATAAACAAAATGAATTTTGTTTGGTACAAATAAACTAAGAAAAAAATTACGCATTTTTATTTTTTAAATCATTTTATTGTCAAAAAACCTAATTTTCCACTTTATTTAAGAGGAATAAATCGCGAGCTGTGAGTAGCACCAATACCTGGCCTACCGTGCTTAACAGGTTTGTATGTTAAAGAAAATTCCCCAAGATAATGTCCAATCATCTCAGGCTTAATTTCAACTTGATTAAAAGTCTTTCCGTTGTAAACACCAACAATTGACCCAACCATTTCCGGGACGATAATCATATTACGGAGATGCGTTTTCACAATTTCCGGCTTTTCATTTGGTGGGGCTTCTTTTTTAGCTTTACGGAGTTTCTTCACCAAAGCCATTGGTTTGCGTTTTAAACCCCTGTTAAAACGCCTACGTGCCCTCGCATGCATAAGTTCCATTAATTGCTCATTTGGCATATCGAGCAGTTGATCCAAATCGACTCCGCGGAAGGTAAACTTCCTGAAAGTCCTCTTTTTCTTGGGCTCTTCAACCTGATTAAAAAAGATTGAGGTTAGGTCACATTTGACATCAAAATTTTTAATGATTATTTTATGAAATAATTGTTTATGGGGGTTTAATAGTACTTACTTTATCTGCCATTATGGTTTTTATTAATCGATGGTGTTGGAAAACCAAAGAAATCTATAGATTTAAAATCTGCAAATGTCACAAACACTATGGTTTGTTGAGAAAGGAAGTTAGCTGTAATAATAACCAAGGGTACCAACATCAATTTAAATCAAGTCGTTTTCCTAATTCGATTTTTATTTTGTATTAATTAGATCTTTTAATTAATTCATTAAAGTATTTATTAAATAAAATTATTAAATTTGATTTTTATTTTAATGTTTACTAATATAAGTGTTGCCTAAGTTTAGTGATTTAATTGTTGTTACGTTTTTACTGATTTGTTTGGATCTGTTAGGTTATGTTAATAGTTTGCCAACAAATAAAGCATTCCCGGTCGATTATTCTTGAAATTACATCCAATTTAAGTGTTTCTTAACGAAAAATGGCTGGGAGACGACGACCCCATGAAGATGACGACGGCTACGGTAAGATAATCATTTTAAAATAACCCCCTAACAAAATTTCTCAACATAACCTTATCCTTAATTTAATAGTTTTTGATACTGATTTCGTTTTAACTAATAGATCGAGCATATAGAAAGCGAAGGAAAGTGTCTGAAAATCAAGAAATTGAAGACCGTTTGGAAAGTTTAATTCTCCGTGTTGGTGAAAAAAGTAGTTCATCTTTAGAATCAAATTTAGAGGGTTTAGCTAGCGTTTTAGAAGCTGATTTGGGGACGTTTCGCCAAAAAATTTTAAGAATTCTAACAGATTGCGCGATTCGTATGCCAGAAAAATGTACGATTTATACAACATTAGTTGGGTTATTAAACGCAAAAAACTATAATTTTGGAGGAGAATTCGTTGAGTTTATGGTACGCACTTTTAAAGATAGTTTAAAAGCTTGTAAATGGGATGGGGCTCGTTACGCTTTAAGATTCTTAGCGGATTTGGTGAATTGTCACGTTTTATCAGCAAATTCCTTATTACAACTGTTAGATAATATGATAGATGCTGCAAATGAAGATAATGTACCTCAAGTTCGACGTGATTGGTATGTTTTTGCGATATTAAGCACATTACCTTGGGTTGGAAGAGAATTATACGAGAAAAAAGAAAGTGCTTTAGAACGCCTATTAGTTCAAATTGAGGTTTTTTTGAATAAACGCACCAAAAAACATCATGCAGCCCTCAAAGTTTGGACAGCTGATGTTCCCCATCCACAAGAAGAGTACTTAGATTGCTTATGGTCGCAAATACGGAAATTAAGGGCTGATAATTGGGCTGAAAAACATATTCCTCGACCGTATTTAGCATTTGATTCAATATTATGTGAAGCCCTTCAACATAGTTTACCAGCAATTTTACCCCCACCTCATCATGAATCTTACACTTACCCAATGCCTTGGGTTGTGTTTCGTATGTTCGATTACACCGATTGCCCAGAAGGCCCCATTTTGCCCGGAGCACACTCAATTGAACGATTTTTAATTGAAGAGCACCTTCATTCAATCATTGAAATGTACCATTTAGAACGCAAAGAATGCGCAGCTCATCTCTTAAACTTCCCATACAAATCAAAAATTCCCCTCGAATATTGTATCGTTGAGGTTATGTTTGCAGAATTATTTAACATGCCGGCCCCTCGTTATTTAGATATCGCTTACGGCGCCATTTTAATCGAACTTTGTAAACTACAACCATCCACGATGCCCCAAGTTTTAGCCCAAGCAACTGAAATATTATTTTTGAGAATTGATACAATGAACGTATCTTGTTTTGATCGGTTTGTAACGTGGTTTTCGTACCATTTGAGTAACTTTCAATTTCGATGGTCGTGGGATGATTGGGATTCTTGTTTGGATTTGGATGCGGAACATCCGAAACCGAAATTTGTACGGGAGGTGATGTTGAAGAGTTTGAGGTTATCGTATTATCAACGATTGAGGGAGATTCTTCCCGATACGTTTGCAAGATTCGTTCCGGTCAAACCAGAGGCGGATTATAAATACGCTAAAGAAGCTGCAGGTAAGAATAAATTAAAAAACTGTTGATTTATTTTGAAAGTTTGATGTTTGAATGTGTCAATAGATGGCGTTAAGATACCGACTTAACGCCATCTATTATTAGCACCATTAGATATGTTTCCTTTTCATCAGTCTATTAAAGAAAAATACCCTAATCTAATACTCTACAGGTAATTTTATTTGTTAAAAGGCCATTTTGGACACAAAATTAAAAGCAAATTTAAAAAATTTACCTTAACGTTTTTCAAAATATTACCTTTTACTGTTTTATCTTTTCGAACGTAATCTGGTGTTAAAGTAAGGGTGCGTTTACGTTGGAGCTGCGATAAACAATACTAGCAAAATAACGAAATTGTTGTCATAGTTTTATATGCAAGTGTTTATATTGGAGCGACGAATTGTCACAAGCTTGACAGCCGACTAACGATAAGAGCGAGGCTAATTGTATTCCCTATTTTCTTTTCTATTATCAGGTGTGGTCGGCATGGATATCGACTGTTTAATTAGTGAAATTTTTGTTAGATCCCCTTGTGGGACCAAAAAGATAAAAATTACCACAACAGATTTGTTCTGACAAATCGTTTTCAATTCATTTTGCGCAGCTCTTATCCTTGCTCTCATTATTGTTCTTATCGTTTATCGCAGCTCTCGTTCCAATATAAACACCTGCATATAAAACTATGACAACAATTTCGTTGTTTTGGTAGTATCGTCGCTATTATCGTTTATTGCAGCTCCAACGTAAACAACACCCTTAGGCGTAGGAATTAATACAAAATCTTGGGATGATTCATTTCTTAATTGATACACATTTAGTTAAATCAAAAATACTTTATTTTTCATAATTTAACACCTACTTTTTTTGAACAAGAGAAACATAAAAAGTAATCTATCAGAATATTATTTTTCTGAAGACACCTTCCGTGATGTGTATGTTCTTTGACATTTTTGACACTTGAGTCCAAGATTACTACCATATACAGTATGACCCATTTCAAAGCGGAGCACCCTCGTAAAATCTGTATTTATTACCCGATTTCGACAAATTTGTTTTTGAATTGTAGAGCGTAAGAAACTGTACCTTAGGTCAAAGAGTCATATTTTTTTTGAAAATTCCAAGGACTACTATTTCACTTTTTAGGTGCAAAAAATGAAGAAATCATATTAGGAAATTTTTTACAAAAAATCTGAGTACACCATTGCATTCAGCGCCGTTTGAAATGCGCATGTACCAAATTTCATCAAAAATGGTTACAAATTAACATCGTTCAGATAATTGAAAAATATAATTGTATTATTGTCTGGATTTTATTAACTTTTTTGTTATGGTTTACTAGATCAGATCAAATAAATTCATAAAAAATGATATTTTTCAATTATCTGCAACGGTTTTATTTTAACCATTTTTGATGAAACTTGGTATATGCCCATTTCAAAAGGCGCTTAATGCATTGGTGTACTCAGATTTTTTCTAAAAAATTTCCTAATATGATTTCTTCATTTTTAGCACTTAAAAAGTGAAAAAGTAGGCCTTGGCTTTTCTAAGAAAAACATGATTCATTGTCCGAAGATACAGTTTTTTATGGTCTACAATTCAAAAAAAAAATGTCGAAATCGGATAATAAATACAAATTTTACGAGGGTGCTCCTCTTTCAAATGGGTCACACTGTATGTATGTTCATTACGCATATACCGGGAATTTCATATAAATCGCAATATACATATGAATGCAGTAACCATAGTTATGAAACTACTGTGCACTTGCAGTATCACATATAAAATGCAACATAGCTTAATAATACAGGCATTGGGTAGTTTTGCAAAGGAAAAGTTTTGTTTGGAAATCCTTATTCTGAGTTTTCGTCTTAACATGTTGACTGCCATGAGAAGCATAACTTGATGCACGGCAAAATTTCCATAAGCATGAGAAGCACCAGTTGATTCTCATGCCTATTTAATTTTAAAATTGTTCCGGCCAGAATGGATAGACTTTTAATAACTATTGCGGCAGTCAACGTGTTAAGAGACGCACGGCTAAACTCGAATGTTTCTAGTTCTAGGTCTAGTGTTAGTTCTAGTTTTAATTCAATAAATGTACATAACACCGTGGTATCTAATGCTAACTAGCGCTATCTAGCACTGTCACTAGAACTAACATTAGACCTAGAACTAGGAATATTAGGGTTTAGCCGTGCGTCTCTCAAGACGGCTATACCCAGATGATTCTAGTTCTAGGTCTAGTGTAGTAGTCGCTTTTTTAATGTCTTGTTGCCTTTTTTCTCCTTTTAAATGTTCTCCTTTTCTTGACAATTTTCTTAAAAGTTGAAGAAGTCACTACATAGGGCATTTTTTGAATGTTCCTTTTGTTTTGCCTTTCAGGCATTTTTGGCCGTTGTAAATAGTTACACAGTGTTTCAGAATTACCTTTAACCTCATTATTGTTTTCTTGAAACACCACATTTAAAATATCTACTTCTGAACATTGTTCTATTGGATCATTATTATCAGAAGGTTGGTTTTCATCGTTTAAAACAACATTATTTTGATTTACTGTAATTTGACTATTGCAATGACTTTTATGAAGTAAATTTTGGTCAGCATCGATAGTAATTTTAATCTAGGTCCATTTGACAATTAAAATAAGTCTCAGTAAGTAAATTTTGGTCTAATTCATTTTCACTATTAGAACGGTCTTCATTACACTCTATATTTGCTTCAAATTCTTTGTAAAGTCTTAGTAATATTTGGTAATATTGGTCATCGCGGGAATTAGTATATCGTTTTTCAATTTGTTAAATGTTTCGTTTCCTATAATTTCAACAAATCTTTTATAATCTAAATTAGTGCTGATGCTTTTAACATCTATTTGCACCGTTTCATCATCTGACGTTGTAGCTAATCGTTTACCTAAACATTTCGTAAAATCTTTGAAAAAAGCTCTGAACCCACTACAAACAGTGGTGTAGTTTAAAGAACAGAATTAATGCAAACTCCTTTTTGTTAACATGAGAAAATGGATGTCTTTGTCTAAACTGAAGCATCCCTCGTTTCCAATGTACCTTTAATGGCTTAAAATAGGACACGTTTGAAGGTTGCAGAATGTGTGTTGCATTTGTATACAATGCAATTAAAATGATTTGACTCTACGAAAAGTATAACGGGAAACGTAGTACCTTTCTTTTTCAAATATTTATAATATACATTGGAAATGTATTCGTAAAATAGTTCTGCCTTCATCCAGCCATTATCGGATATTCCAAGCAACAATTTCTGAAGGAATTGTTGTGGTCTTTTATAGGGATATACAACCATTGGAGGGGTAGTTTCTCAGTTTGCACCAAACGAGAACATAATTGCCAGTGCTTTGTTGCCTTTTGTACACATTAGAAAGCCCGTTTTGTCCCCATTAAATACTTTGTTTTCATCTTCTAAAATTTTCCACCCTTTTGCTTTTAAATACTGTTGAAAACCATTTTTTAACGTCTTGTTCGCTGACATTTCCACTTGATTTTGTTACCGGCTCTGCTGTTCTCAGAGTTAATTTTGGGTGATATAATAAACCTATGATCTCCGGGTAAATTTTGTTTGAAGGGATTGTCTCTTGGACGGTTATTTAAAAATTGTTGTACTGCGAGTTTTATGTCTATTTTTCGTTTAGCAAACCCTTTTTTTGCACATTCATTTACTCACAATTCTAATAAATTTTCTTCTTCATCTGAGAGTACTGTATTTGGGTCCTGGTCTAATTTTCTTCATTTTGTGCCCAACCTAAATTGAAGCGTAGCCCTAGGAACATAATACTTTTTCGCAGTTGTGCTTACAGCTGCACCATCATTTAGTTTACTTAATGCTTTTTGCATAGCTTTTTCTTCATATTTTTTAGAATAACAAGTCACTCTCTTAACGTCGGGCATCTGGCAAAAAAATTATAATCGAACAATAAAAAATGTTTCCAATATTAACACTTAAAAAATTGTTTTAGAAGTTAGCCAGAAATAGGGCTTTTTACTACATTATTGAAGTTGTACTTATAACTTCTTCAAAGCTTACATTTTGTTATTTTGGGTTTATTACCACTTTTAGAAGTTTTGGTCTGAAGTTTGTTAGATTTGTTGTGTAATAATAATGTTTATAATAGAATTTAAAGGTTTATTTACAATCTTAAAACATTAACAATAAAATTGTTTTTGTTTACATTTGACTATACTAAATTAATTGTTTATTTATTAAATTTATTCCATTTTCGGCCGATTTCTAATTTTAACCAACTTCTTTTTCTTTTTTCTCGCAATTCTCTTCTTTCTATCCAAATATTTAACTGCCCTCGCATTGTTTAACACCGATAGAACTAAATTATCCAAAACAGCAGAAACATCTTCAGTTGTAGCTTTAATTTTTAACTTTTCGTACACATTTATTAAATCCGTCGTTGTAATTATTCCTTCAGTTGTACTTTTATAATCATCAAATTCTGTTGTAATTGAAGTAGTTTTTAGTTCATCACATCCAGTTGTTGACGTTACATATTCAAACATTGTTGTAACTTCATTTACATCTTTAAAATGAACTTTTTCGGTTACACTTTTATGAGGAATATTAGTCGTTGTTTCAACTTCTAGTATATTTGGAATATCTTGGTCCATTTCTAAATTTGGTGCTGTTGACGCTTCATAAAAATCTGAAAAAATTATTTTTTGGGTTGGTTCAATTTCAATATTAATTCCTTCTTGCGTTGTTATATCCTTAAATTGAGTTATATTTTCATTATTTATTTTATTTTGTTTCTCCTTAATTTTATCTTTAATCCGTATTCTTTTATTACTCTCTTTCATAAATCTTTTTCGTTTCAATTTATTAAATAATTCATCAACATCCGAGTTTTGTTTTCTTCTCAAACTTTTTGTTGTCGATTTCTTGGTAGTTTTCGATGTTTTCCCAAAAATATCATCCAAAATTTCTTGACCGTCCTGTGTAAAAGGCACCGGAAGTGTTTGTGGAGTTGGCGCTTTAATTATTAACGGGTTTTTAACACTTTCCGGTTTTAAATAATTCTTTTCCGTTGTCGTTTCCACTTTATCAACAATAATCGTTTGATTTTTTGATGTTTTCAGATTACTTTTTATCTTATTAACAGTTGGTCTTTTCGGAATATTAAATTTTTTTCTTTTTGTCGTGGTAACAAAACTTTTTTCTGTAGTTGTCGTACTTTGTGTTTTTGCACTTTTTATTGTTGCACTTCTTATCGTTGTTTTCAAAAAATTCTTTGTTGGTCGTGAAAATTTATATTTTTTCGTTCGTTTCGAAGAGAATGAAACAACTTTTTCGGTCGTTGTCGGTTTAAAAGATGGTTTTCTCGTTGGTTTAAAACGATTTTTAAGTATTAAAGGGGTTTCAGTTTTAATAATTGAAGTCGTAGCTTCTATTTGAGAAGTTGTTTTCGGGGATGTACCAAGAAACGTATCATTTTGATTATTTATCCAAGTAGTTTCATCAAAAATTTGGGTCGATAAATTTCCAATTAAGGATAAAGCTTCTCGATCATCTAAATTCATCACATTTGTAATTCCATTTTCAGTTGGAATTTCATCACGTAACGAAGTTTTTGTTATAAATTCCGATGTCGATTCAATTTTTTCGGTTGTCGTTTTTTCAATTGAAGTTGTAGTCAAATTTTCATCAAAGAAATTCTTCTTTTCTTCCGTTAAAAATGAAGGTTTCGTTGAAATTTCCTGCATAATTGAAGTTGTACTCCTAATTCCATCATTTAAATTCATCATTTTTGATTCATCAATATTTCGAAATGAAGTTTTTGTTAAAAATTGATGTTTCAATGAAGTTTCTTTAGAAAAGGGTGAAGATCGATCCTTTTCATTCACCACTTTAGCTTTATTTTCATTATAATTCGAAGTTTGCGTTGAAGTTTCTTCTCTAATTGAAGTAGTACTCCTAACTTCATCGTCTAAAAGCGAAGTTTGCGATTTATCACCATATTTAATTGAAGTTTTGGTCAAAAATAAAGGTGTTGATGAAGTTACTTTTTCAGTTGTGGTTGTACTTCCATTTTCATCGAATAATAATGGTGAAGATTCATCCTTTTCATTCATCAATTCAGTATTATTTTCATTATAATTCGAAGTTATCGTTAAAAATTTAGATTTCGTTGAAGTTTCTTGTATAATTGAAGTAGTACTCCTAATTTCATCATCTAAACTCGATATTTGCGACTTATCAGCATATTTAATTGAAGTTTTGATCAAAAATGGAGTTGTTGCAGAAGTTTCATCGAATAAATTCTTCGTTTCCGTTTCATTTTCATTATAGAGTGAAAAATTTTCGGTTAAAAATGAAGTTTCATCATGTTTTCGAAGTTGAATTTCACTTTTATTTGTAGTTTCATCCATTAAACTTGTTATTTTGTGTTCATCTTTATTTGTAATTAAAGTTTCAAAGTTAATCAAAGTTTGTTGGGTTGTTGAAGCTTTTTCTAATAAAGTTTTTTGGGTTGGTAGCTTTTTAGATGAAGTTTCAACTACTAATTGAGTTGTATTTTCAACATTATCAATTAAATCGAGCATTTCGACTTTATCCACCGATTTAAGAGACTTTTCTGTTATAAATTGAGGTTTCATGGAAGTTGTACTTCCCGCTTCATCATCATAATTCACGCCATTCATTTTATTTTCAGCTTCAATCTTAGTTTTAACTTGTATTGAGTTAATTAAAGGTTGTTTTGTTAAAGTTAAATTAATTTTAATCGGTTTCGGTGAAGTTTCCAAATCAATTTCTTTATATAATGATGTTGTTTTTTCTGTAATTTTAGTTTCAGAATCTAAATCAAATTGAGTTGAAGTTGAATAATCCCCAGATTCATCTAGAATCTTTATTGGAGTCGAAGCTTTTGATTTTTGATACTCCAAAGTTGGGGGAACCCAAAGCGGTCGAGTCATCTCTAAAAATCCGTCTTCATCGACATCTTTTTCGACACTTTTTAACATTTTATCTATCAACGAAGTAGATTTTGTTGTTTTTAAAGTTGGAGGTGAAAAAACTTTGTTGTAACTTTCTGTAGCTGTTGCAATGTAATCATTTCCTGGCGGAGTTTGTACTTGTTCGATTTCTTTTGGTCTCACAGTCGTCGGTTTTTTTTTTGTCTCGAAGATATCATAAAAATCTTCTTTCGTTGGCAACAATTTTTTCGTCGTCGACGGTTTTAAAGTTGTTGAAGTTGTTTTTGGTATTTCTGTTGTTGAAATTTTTAATAAAGGAGTTGTTAAAGTTGTTGGAATTGTTTTAAAACTTGTTGGAGCTTTTAAAATTGTTGGAGTTGTTGATAACATCATTTGAGTTGCTAAAATTGTTGGAGTTGTTGTTAACATTCTTGGAGTTGTTGTTAAGATTCTTGGAGTTGTTGTTAATACTCTTGGAGTTGTTGTTAATCTTCTTGGAGTTGTTGTTAAAACTCTTGAAGTTGTTGTTAAAACTCTTGATGTTGTTAAAACTCTTGGAGTTGTAGTTAAAATTCTTTCTGTTGAAGTTAACATTTTATTTTCCGTATCAATAGTAGGATGATTTTTTAAACTGTTCAATAACTTATTGTAAAGTTCAATTTCTTGGTGTAATTTCGATTTAACATCCGGCTTAACCGTTGTGGTGGTGTATCGTTCGTTCCTTTTCGTATAAAAATAAACGGACGTCGTCGAAGGATACGGAGGTAAATAATAACGATTATTACCATTTCTTGACTCTTTAATATCTTGGTTTAACAAGAAAACATGTCCGGGAATCTCATAATTAAATTCCCCATTACTTTTAACATAAACGCGATCTAAAATCGGCGAGATTTTATACTCAACTTCATATCTATAAAGAAAATACAAATATATTATTTTTTATTAATAAGAATTTATTTTTTACCTAAAATTATCTTCACTTCTTCTATGTCTTATTCTTTTAACACTCCATAACGTTAAAATATCCCCGTACTTCTTCCGTGGGATTTGAATTCGACAATTTTCGCAATCGTAGAGGTTTTTATCCCTCACGAAAATTAAATTACCATGGTTATGGTAGAGTTGACCCCTGGCTAACATCGAAATATCCCCGAATGGGACCGTGGGGACGTTATCGCCCAAAATTGGCGCCACGTGCAATTCGTTTTTTAACCCCGGCTCTAACCAACCCTCTTTTATAAACACCCTGTACGTTGCTTCTTTTAATCCGTTCTCCCAAGGTTGTGAAAATATTTGTTCCGTATCTCTTTTGTAAATGATATCTTCGTCTCGTGGGGTTATTATTGCTTGCGAAATGTCCGGTTTTAAAAAGAAAATGACGAACTGAAATTTAAGAAGTCTCTTACTTATTAAATATTTCTACCCCCTTGGACTTTTCCATCCATGTTTTGATATTATTGTAAAATTCAAATCATTTTTTTAATTTTTAAAGAAAATAACTAAACTATATAAAGAAATAATTCATTTTTTAGAAAGTTCTTTATTAAATTTTTATTTTTAAAGTGAAAAAATTGAATAAAAGGCGAGTTTCTCTTTTATGTTAAATACTTTTTTATATAACAAATCCATTAAAACAATCCTGCCTAATTTTATACTTACTGTTATAGTACAATAAATAATTAAAAAGCACCTCATCTTAAAATCATAACTTTTTCGAACTCGAACTTTTATGCTAAAAGAATTTTAAATTCTTCGAATTAAAACTTAATCAATGAAATGCACTTTGAATGTAGACATAAACTCGGGCAAAGCTCGTCGTCGAAACTTTCGCGGTGGACTCTGGTTTTTGTTAGGTTTACTGTTTGAGAGTTTGTGGTGATGCGCTCGGTTGAATCTTGACATTGTATGCGCAAGTTTTCTTTGGCAATTGTCTTTGACGAAACACCGACGTTAATCTGTAATGGGAATCTGGGAAAAAAGTGAAATTTTTTAAATAACATTCAACTGTAATTGTGTATAATTAACTAATTATAATTTTTTTGCAGCTGGTTTACCAGGAACTTCGGCTGCTCATCAACTGGTTATTTCAATCCGGCAAAAATGCACCCCAGAAGAAGTTTTGGGGGTTCTTAAAGATTTGCCAAACCCTCGATCTGAAGAAGAAGCCGACAGCCGATTCAACCCATTAAAAATCGACGTTTTCGTTCAAACTTTACTCAATTTAGGCTCGAAAAGTTTCTCGCATAGTTTTGCTGTTATTTCAAAATTCCACTATGTCTTCAAGGTAAAAATTTTAAATCTTTTCTCTTATTTTATTGTTATTCCTTTTTTAAATTAGATCTTAGCTGAATCAGAAGAGGCTCAAATTTGCGTATTAAAAAACATGTTCGAATTATGGCACAACCACCAACAAATGATGCTTGTTCTTGTCGATAAAATGTTAAAAACTCAAATTGTTGAGTGTTCGGCAGTCGCGAATTGGATTTTTTCGAAAGAGATGGGTGCCGAATTTACGAAAATGTATCTTTGGGAGATTTTACATTTAACGATTAAAAAAATGAATAAACACGTTATTAAATTGGGTGGTGAGTTATCGGAAGCGAGGGAGAAATTGGCTCACGCGGAGTCGAGTTCCAGTGAAAGTGAGGACGATGAGACCGCGTCGAAAGCGAAAAATGAAACCGATACGGAGAAACCAACCGAGGAAATGGTTGAAAGGATGGAGGAAAAATTGGAGGCGGCCCAAGCTGACCAAAAGAATTTATTTTTAATTATTTTCCAACGATTTATTATGATTTTATCGGAACATTTAGTAAGATGTGATACGGATGGGAGGGATTATAACACGCATTGGTATCGGTGGACCATTGGGAGGTTACAACAAGTATTTTTGGCGGTAAGATAACTTAATTTAACCTTAAACAAGATTTAATTTAATTTTTGTTTAATAGCATCACGAGCAAGTTCAGAAATACAGTTCAACATTAGAGACTTTGTTGTTTACTCAGGATCTTGATCCGCATATTCTCGAAATATTCCATCAGTTCGTTTCTTTACAAGGGTAAGGAAAAGGGGAGTGTTAAAAATGAAAAAAGTTGACTTTTATAATTCAAAAAGTTAGAGACGTTTATTTTATGATGTAAGGATGAGACAAAAAAAAATAAGGAATTAAGGAATCGATTTTTGCTTTCCTTTAGATTTTATACGTAGTGTATATTGTGTTAAGATTTTTTTGACAATGATAGTATCTATATATATAATTTTCTTTTTTGGTTTTGAGATGACGTTCGTTAGTTCTAAATGATTGTGAGTTTGTGAACTGTTTATATTTTTGGCTATGCAATAAAAAATGGTTACATTCTCAAGGATAACTTTTATATCCTTCAAAATCCCTAATTTCCATCAAACTTCCTTTATAGATTTTTGATTAATTCGATAAAAAAATCTTTTTAATTATACTAATTTTAGAAGTTCATTTTTATTTGAAAAGCGACAATCGTTTCCGCCGAAAGATTTCATTAAATTAATCGCTCCAGACAGGACTACCTCCAGATTAAGCGGGTCTCAGTGAGTCCAGACGCTTTCTTTGCATTTGCATGAGCGGCGAAGTCGCTATCGCGTCTTCCGCAGGCCGAAGACGCCACCGTGAGAAGTAACACCCCTATTATGTTCCATTATCATTTAAAATAGGCTTAAAGTCAGTGTCTCTTCTCGAGCGCATCGCCTCCTCCCCTGATATTAAAAGTTTATTATTATTAACGGAGGGAAGGGAAAGTTTTGAAGTCTCGACAATTTTCTTCGTCGTCGGATTAGAGACTCCTTTTTGGGATAGAAATTGGGGGAAGCGGGTGTGAAATAACTGAAGGGCTTATCGCAGGTTGGAATCACACAGCGCGCGATTTGCAGGTTGTATGAAAAAGAGAAACGGGGGGTTTCGAGGTAGAGAGAAAAAAGGATTCGTAGCAGTGTGGGGGAAATTGAAAATTTAGCCTGGATGTAGTACGTGTCGATATTTTAGGGGAGCCCCCGGTGACAAGTGCAGATCGGAACGTGAGTGGTTTCGGTCCCGTGGGACCTATAAAAATCCAATTATAGTATACTTGTTCTTTATAATCTCGAGACGTATGTCGATGTTTCGAAATGGGAATTTAACTTTAAAAAATTCCCTCAAGCGGGAATTATTATCAATAAAGATGGATCGTCGATTTTTATTATTTTATATCAATAATTCCTGTAAGTTTGGGATACATTCAAATGATTTAATTTAAAGTGTCTTTATGTCCATTTTAGCGATTTGTGAGAAACCATCTCCACAACAGTGCGAGTAGAGATCCAACGTTTAATTCTTCAAAATATTAATTAATATTAGATGTCAAGTACGACATGCAATAATAGAACAGTGGTGGTGCGGTGATGAGAGAAACAAGAGTTAATTGTTACTCTAGTGAACCCGGAGGCTATGCGTTCAAAACAGGTCATTCTTGCAAACATGATTTAGTTTGATTGATAGATTTAATTTTTGAAATCTTTGTTGTTTATGTCGTAGGCATATTGCGAAATCCGGCTTATTACAATAAGCGCCGTCATTTTGCAATGTGCCCGGCAAATTGGAAAATTATCTCACATTTTGTAAACAGCCTGAAATTTTTTAGGCTTATTACAATAAGCCCACGAACCATCAGTCCAATTGGAAAGTGGACAACTGTTTCTTTAAAAAGCCTGGTTTTATTGAGGCTTTTTGCAATTNTCAGTTACAAAGAACTGCATGTTATGTGGTTTATTGTCAATTTTTACATCTAACCTACATTCACCTATTACTTTTAATTTATTACCTCCATAATTAGTTATATTTGCAACACTTTCCTTAAGTTTAGAATTTAAATTTAATTGGTTAAAGATGTAGCTTGGAATCACATTTATCTGCGCTCCTGTGTCTATTTTTGTTTTTAACTTAATTGCCAGAAACCGATGTCGATGTCGCCATGACACTTGCACTGGTGCTCATTTTATAGTTACGCGACAATGCTGACAACTTGTAAAAACCATTTTATATCTTAATATATAACATATTAGGTAACCAAAAAAGTTCGTGCGGTTAAATTATAAAGGTTTTATAATTTAAATTTACAATAGTTTTTAATGTTTTCCCTCCTTATAGCCCTAATGATGTCTGCAATAATTGTAGATGAAAATTGGGCTGTTTGTTTCTATAAACTGATTGTACTACATCTAACAACTGTGTTTGAAATTAATAGCTAGACACTGCTTTAGTCGATTAACTTTCTACAAATAACTATATATTAAATTTAAAGTCGTACTTATGTTAACATAGGTGCTTGCAGTATGGACGACAATATCCAAACTGATGGAACTGATTTCCAGGACGTAAATAACATGAGAATAAACTTTAATGCGCAAATGAAAGAATACTGCAATAAGAGTGAAAATGTCGTAAAGAAGCCTTGGACAAAAGCAACTGTGGAAGAAGTAATTCGAGAAATTTTGGATGCAAATAACCCTGAAAAAAAGAAGACTAGTAGACAATATGGATTAACCAGAAAATACGACACAATGGAAATTGGCGAAACAAGAGTTTTAATCAAGAAAAGAAGAAGTAATGAGGATCCTGTAGTAGTAATGATTCCGGTTGAAGAATACTTTGACAGACTTATTCAATGTCACCGTGCCACTGGACATGGAGGAAGAGATAAAATGCTGTTTGAATTAAAAAATAAATTTTACATTTCCAGACCAGCAGTTGAAATGTTTGTATCGCTTTGTAAAATGTGTAATACGAAGAAATCTCAACAACAACGTAATATTGTGGTAAGACCAATCACCACAAAAGATTTTAACCTTCGCAGTCAAGTTGATTTGATCGACTTTCAATCAACTCCATGTCGAGGATATAAATGGTTAATGAATTATCAAGATCATGCAACTAAATTTTGTGCTGCTGAAGTTGCAATGGAACTGCTGAAAATATTTTTGGATTTCGGCGCACCGCACATTCTACAAAGCGACAACGGACGTGAATTTACAGCTGATGTGGTTAAAGAACTTTCTGGTATATGGGCTGATTGTAAACTAGTACATGGAAGACCTCGACATCCGCAATCACAGTGAAACGTAGAGCGCTGCAACCAGGATGTTGAAAATATGTTACGTTCGTGGATGGATGACAATAAGAGTACAGATTGGGTGATAGGATGCCGCTTCGTTCAGTGGCAAAAAAGCACAGGATCATAGGGCGCAGTCCATATACAGCCCTTTTTGGAACGGAACCAAAGATAGGACTAAATTCAACTAACATTCCACAGGCAATTCTTGAAAAAGTTTTTAGTGAAAAAGATTTGGAAAAGTAAAGAAATGACGAATATAAGGGAAAAGTTGGAGAAAATCAAGATGAAAACCAATTCTCTAATGTTCAACAAGAATTGTGTTTTATTTGTTCGGGATATTTGAATGAAACACCTTTTGTTTCATGCTCTTCATGTTCCATGAAGATTCATAAAACTTGTTTCCAAAACGTTTGCTCAATCTCCGATGAAAATGATATGTATCAATGCGATATTTGTAATAGACAAGAAAATATATCTTCACAACGTCAAAAAGCACACGAAGGTCAAAAACGAGCTGCAGAAAAAATGATTGAAAATACCGGGAAGAACCTAAAATCGGTCACAGTTGGAAATTTTGTTCTATTAAATGTGCCGAAAGTCGACCGTGGCCCTTTAGACGCACCANAGGTAGAAATGTAGAAAGTTTATCGATTAAAGGGGTGTCTAGCTGTTAATTTCAAACACAGTTGTTAGGTATAGTACAGTAGTTTATTGAAACAAACTGCCGTATTTTATTGGTTTTAACCGTTACACAACTGTTTCCTATGATTTACTAATATATTATGTTACGTTTTGGTTATTTAATAAACTGTTTTTATTATATTTTAATTGCTTTATTAAACTGTACCATTAGGCGTTACAACTGGTTACAACTCTATTGCCAGAAACCGATGTCGCCATGACACATGCACTGGTGCTCACTTTATAGTTACGCGACAGTGCTGACAACTTGTAAAAACTATTTTATATCTTAATATATAACATCTCCCTTCTTTTGAAAGACCGAACAAAGTCAAACAATGTTACTATAAACTAAACATTCTACTGCTATTATTATACTTAAACTAAACTTACAATTTATTGGTTTATTTAACATAGTCTCTCAAATAAGTAGGAGTTTTCCGAATGCGAACAGGTCTACTTTCACTTTGTGTATTATTAGTATTTTTGGGTAAAGATAGATCAGGAGTTTCCGAAACATCGTTATTGGTAATGACAGGATTGTTATTGTTAGTAATCAAAGGTTTATTAAGATTGTAATAATGTTCAAAAACGTTGTCATAAACTTCCCTATCTATATACGGCTTGTTATCTTTAAATTGCTTTAAGAATTTACGATTTCTATCATAGACATCTGCTTTTCCATCATAGGTTATTTTGTATGATCTTGGACGGTTCTTATCTACTTCTACTATTCTTCCCGGTTTCCAAGTTTTATCTTTTTGTTGCACGACTACTCTTTCTCCCTTCTTCAGGTGATTATGATCTTTTGATTTTTTGTTATACTGTT